CCCCCCAACCAACGACTAACACCCCCTCCCCCGACCCCTCCTCCAAGATCCCCCGCTCCTCCGCAAAACCCATCACCGCCCCCAGCGCCGACTCCTCGCGCGCGACCACCCCCCGCCACCAGAGCCCGCGATCCCAGCGCCGGAAGCCCGAGGGTTCGCTGGATGCGCCGAATCTGATCGTCACGTCGTCGACGCCGCCGCAGGTGGAGGAAGAGGATCTGGACGCGCTGAAGGCGAAGGGGTCGGCGCAGGATCCGGAGGCGTCGGCGATGAAGGGCGGGGCGGGACGGGCGGCGAGTGGTGCGCGGACGTTGGAGACGGTGCAGGAGGGGAGTCCGCCAGATGAGGGGGCGATGGTGGAGTCGATTACGTTGCAAAGGTAGGACGCTAGATGGGGATTACAGCACGTAAATATAGCAGGACGTGTGGCTAACTCGATTTTATAGCCCGACGGACTCGATGATTCTTTATCGATCTCCGCCATCGCAATCCGAACTTACCGACGACCGCAGCGCGAGAGCCACTGAGAGCGGAAGCGATAGTAGTAGCAAGACACGAAAAGATAGGAAGCCGAGGCAGGACGATGATCCGGATAGGACCCCCAGGCCGAAAGCTGTCCGGCAAAAAAGCTCGTTCACCAACCTCCCGGCGACCAATACACGCGCGCAGGAAGGTCCGTCGAAGAATATGACTGTCGAAACGGAAACAGTCGCGTCAATCCCGCAGGCACCCCTTGGCGGAAGTACCCAGGATTGGATCGCCAGCGGAAAGAACGACAACAACGGGACGATCCGGGTCAAGCCGAGCCTCGAGACGATCCGGCCGAAGAAAGATAGGAAGCGGGTGGTACGCAAGCCACCGAGCGTGACGTCCGGACCTGCATCATCCAAAGCAGACGTCTTCGAAGCCAAGGTCGCCAACGCAGTCGACGAAGCCGACTCCTCTGACTCCGACGAGACCTTCGTCTACGAATCCAACCCCCCCGAACCCCAACCCCGCCGTAGTCGCCACCATTCCCGCACCCCCAGCGCCACCTCTATGGTCAGCCTCGCGGACCCCCGCAGCGCCATCCGCTCCATGGGCACCGTCCTCGACGGCCAGCGCGCCGTCCCCAGTAAGCGCAGCATGAAGTTCACCAACAACCCCTACACCTCCTCCGGGCCCGAAGACGACGGCGCGGACCGCCCCGACGGCGGTACCATCCGCACCACTGCCTCGCGCACCGGCGGTAGCGCCCACCATCACCACATCAGCCGCGGGCGGGGCCAAGGCTACGGATCGATCCTCGACGACGACAACGGACCGTTCCTCGCGCACGGCACCGCCAAGTCGCGGACCGCCACGGGAATCAACCCCACCCTGTCGTCCCACCACTCCTCGCGGCCGTCGTCCCCGAAGTATCCGCATAACGGCAACGGCAACCGGTTTCGGAAGCTCGAGGGCCTAGGGAACTCGTACGATATGGACGGCGAGGGTGACGATGAACGCACGCCGCTCGTCGGGACGGTGCGAACGCCGCGGAGTTCACGGGGGATGCGGACCCCAGGGAGTAATTCGCGGCAGCCGTTCGGGCAGGAGTTCCGCGGGTCGCAGCACCGGCGACGGTCGTTCGCGTCGGGAATGACGGTGTGCGTGGTGGTCACGATCGCGCTGCTACTCGTCGGGTTCGGCGGCGTGGGGTTCCTCTTCGCGACGACGAAGGCGCTCTACGGGGTGTCGGTCGTGGAGATCCAGAACGTGCTAGCGACGGAGCAGGAGCTGATGCTGGATCTCCTGGTGGAGGCGGTGAATCCGAACTTTTTAGGCATCAGCATCAGCGAGATGGACGTGAATATCTTCGCGAAGAGTAGTTATGTGGGGAGCGAGCGCTGGTGGTGGGATGGACGGGAGGACGACGCGGGCGGCCGGTCGGGTGCGGAACGCGGGTCTCCACCCAAGGGGGAAATCGGCATCGGCACGACGGCGGAGCGGCGGCGGCGCATCCAACGCTCCAACGCCCCCCTCCACCCCACCGACGACTCCCCCCTCGACCCGCCCCTTCCCACGGATCCCCCCTCCAACACCACGCAAACCATGCTCCTCGGACGCATCTTCCACTTCGACTCTCCTCTCACCTTCGACGGCGCCCCGTTCTCCCGCCAACCCCACGCCGCGCAGGGGGAGCTACGGCTGATGAAGCCCGGGAACAAGACGGAGGCGGGGGGGACGGAGCGGTGGGAGCGGGTCATTCAGCATCCGTTTCAGCTGATTGTGCGGGGGGTGTTGAAGTATAAGTTGCCATTGAGCGGGGCGAGGGTGAGGGCGAAGGTTGAGGGGATGCTGGCGGTGAAGGGCGCGAAGGGCGACGGCGGCGCCCGAGTCACTCCTTGATTTTCCTTTTCCTTTCTATATTTTTATCTTCTTCAGCAGCGATTGGCGATTGTTTCTTTATTTCGGGCGCGCCCACCCCTGTTTTTATCATTCATCATTCGGCGTTCTCCATACATCCTGGCCATCGCGGCACGGAGGTGCGTAGCAGTGGGGATTCTTAGAAACACAGCAACAGCACACCGGCGAGTGCGGCGGCGGGAATACCTTGTGGGAAGGGCGACCTATCAACATCACATCACGTATCTTTTACGAATCTCCTTTGTTTTTTTCTCCCCCCGTCGGGTGGATCATCCTTTCTCAGCTCGTCTCGGCTGGACTCCACTGGACATCCATCCACTTTACCGCGCAACAAACGGAGACGGTCTGTGAGCGACGTTGTTATCTGGATGGGGAGAGTGAGGGCACTACTACCCGCAGATGCCCGAAGCGGAGCGTTTGTGGAGCATACAGAGGATGGCAGGCAGGCAGGCAGGCATGTAACACAGCGAATGGCGTCATCTGGGGAATGAGTCCGAAGCAGATTGTTCTGGCGAGGGAATTCAAGTCTTTTGTTAATCCGTATCGTCACTGGATGTGGTGTCACCAGCCTCTCTGACCAGGTCTGGGGCTTCTTTCAAGGTCGACGGGTCCGCTGGGATTTGCGGATCTTCTTCTACCTTCGTTTACATTGATATCCACCATCGCAACATGTATTGGTAGTTTAACGGAGCTTCTGGCGGAAGTAGTTACCTTACCCTTCTCCACATAGTCGTTGATAGAATTTAGAGGTTCGTGGAATGCTCTTCGGAGCTTGTTGGGTGACTGTGGTTTGCAGTTCGTTATATAATAATAATAATTCAATTTAACGTGCTATCCGGTTCCCGTTAGGGTCTATGAACACGGTCATTTGACTATTTAGTATGTCGCGGATAAAAGTTTCCCATTGCCAGGGCTATGGGTACGTATTAAAACCCCGCCTCCTCCTTTGTGGTAGTAATTGTCCTTTCGTTTTTTGCCTTCGTGGCTCTCCTTCTTGGAGCAATACAGCAATATTGCTCCCCGTCGCAAGTTATCTCTTGGTTGATTTTTGGGCTGGCTGAGCCCTTTTTGTCCGTTGGGGTTATTATCCCTCACTCCGCTTTGGTTTTTTCGTTTTTGGAAAATGTCTGTTGCCGAAAATGTCCGTTGTATTTGTTTCTGGTCAATTGAGGAGTCGTCGTGAGGCTTGTGGAAAAGTGTTCCGGGGGGCTTCCCTGGGCGGTGTGACAGAAAAGATTTCCTATAGTGACTTTTGCACAGATTCGAACTCAGTTCCTCTGAGTCTTTCTGTGCACCTATCACTCCAGTTACCATTCCACCATCGTCCCAGGGACGCAGTTCGTTATACACAAGTCGTTTCCTCGATATACTTCCCCGTCGTCTATTACCTATATCTCGGATACCATTCCAAGCTCTTCGCAGCTTGTCACTCAATTTAAACTTGTCGAGTTCGTTTATATTCTTTTTCGAAGTCGAGTATATCTTGCGCGCTGTCGTCTATTATACAGCGACTCCCGTTTTCATTCCCATGTACGCTGCCGAAATCCGCATTGTGGGGTGTGCGATTTCCTCCTCAGCTTCATGAACTTTATTAACTAAGTGCTTGAGAAGGCGCGCGCAGAACTTGTCGCTGGTGCTAAAGAGAAGGATGAAGAGATCATCGGACCACTGAAGTCGATCCGACTCAGTCTGTCATTGCTTAGTTCTTTCGGGTTGAGGCTGCCCTCGCTTGAATGTCCTTTCCCGGAGGCGTCTGCTTGATTTCGTATCGTTTCCGTGTTTTTGATCTATTCATATCTTCCCTATCCTATAGACTCCCTACATTCCCACGGTATTCATATAAGCTCCTCGTGCCTCTGTGGCAGCGGTCGAGGTCTCTTGGGAGGAAGAGTTGTTATCCGGAGCAAGTTGCTGTGTTGAAGAAAATTGCCGCTCATGGAATTGTCGGGAAAGAGTGTGGATCAAAAAAGCCAGTTGGTGGTGAATCTTTATAGGATTGACAATCAATTGGCAGTCTATTCATAAATATTTCGAACCCTCAAATCTTCCTATCCTTGGCCAACTCCTTCAACACCGTAATAGTCCCTTCCACCGCGAGCTTGCTCATCTTCTTCTCCCGCTCCAAGAAGGCCGCACGCTCTGCCTTAGAGGCCCCTGAGTGTCTCCATTCAAAGGTAAAGGTCATGTACAGCTCCCCGTCTGCACCCTCACTAATTACATTGTTGATGGTACTTCCATCTGGCTGGACGAAGACCACCCTGGAAGGTTCGTATGCTGTGACCGTCTCCGTAACTTGGCGCTGGTTCTCGCGGAAGACGACTTCGCGGACAGTGACTAGGTTCCCCGTGGATGGGTCCGTAGATTCGGAAACCACAATGGTAGATTGGATGGCACTTGGAACAAAGGTCTCGGCGGAACGAATTTTGAGGAGCAGGCCAGCCCAAATTTGTTCTGAATTGAGGGTCGGGCCGGCTCCGGCAGGATTCAGAGGAGCAGTAAAAGCGATGTTGTTTGTAGTCGACATTGTGATAGAGCCCAGGAAAGTATAGGTCTAAAAAATATAGAGTCAATGGATGATCTTTGGATGTGAGCTTAGGTGACTTCAGAGTGTGAGGAGAGAGGGTTATATATCGGAAGTTTACTATAATTGGTCACTGTCATGATGTAGGAACTCTGACAAAAACCGAATACCGAAGCGCGGAGCGCGGAGCGCGAGGTGACAAATCGAACTATAATGCTCCTCAAGGCTCCACAGGAGGCGATTCGTCAATAATCCCATAGATGCTAATTAATTGGCCCATAGGGTATAGACTATCATAGAGCCCTGGCAAGTGCCAACTTGCCAAGGTTCCTGTTGAGCTAGAATCATCTGGCGCCATCACCTGCGGCCTTCACTCAACCGAAGGTTCCTAAGTATGTACGTGAACAGCCTCCGTTGCGAGCGAGTTGGAGATGAAAGTGTGCGATAATGGAGATTTCGCCAATTCAGGTGATTCGTACAGGGATACGAGGGGAAAACACCATGAGATATAGAGAAGAAGGCGCATATATTTTCCTTGATCCTAAAGAGCAGGAGGACTTCGTAAATAGGGGATTCCTGAGGTCTTCGTATACAGAATGAGTGGACATATGGCCCCCAAATGTATGGAGTTAGGGGCGGAGTTAGGATGAGAAGGCGATAACCATACATAATGGTCAAGGTACACAGATGTTCTGTGACAGAAAGTACTTATTTAACCTCATTCAATTCAACAAAAAATTGTAAAACTTCTCAATCCATAACTACCTCCTACTTGTTTCCAACCCTCAGTTCTCTCTCCTCAATCACCATGAAGCCCATCATTCTCTATGGCCACCACGCTGGCCCCAACCCTAAAAAGGTCGTTATGGTTCTTGAAGAACTCAACATCCCATATGAGGTCAAACTGCTCAAGTTTCCCGAAATGAAGCAACCCGCTTATGAAAAGATCAATCCCAATGGGCGAGTTCCCGCGATTGAAGACCCTAACACTGGGATAACTCTATGGGAGTCGGCGGCAATCATCGAATACCTGGTGGAGAAATACGACGAAAACAGAACAATCAGCTTCCCTCCTGGTACCCCAGAGTACTACTATGCCAAACAGTGGCTCCATTTCCAAGCATCTGGCCAAGGGCCGTACTTTGGTCAGGCTGTGTGGTTCAAGATCCACCATAAGGAGCATATTCAGAGTGCCTTTGATCGGTATATCAACGAAATTCGCCGCGTGTCGGGTGTGTTGAATGGAGTTCTTGAAGGGCATCAGTACCTGGTGAATGACACGTACAGTTATGCGGATACTGCATTTATCCCCTGGTTTGATATCATTCCGTGGTTGGCAGGAGATGCGATTGATTTAAAGAAGGACTTTCCCAATGTCCATGCATGGCTGAACACTTTGAAATCCCGCCCTGCTGTTATCACTGGTCTTGGCAAAGTCAAGTCTGAAGCACCTAAAAAGCTATAACGGACATTTCATGTATATATCGAGTCAAAAAACGAGATTTCATTGCTTCTATCGCTAAGCCGGTACAGGTCAACATAGTTGGTTTTTGAGAATGATAGAAGTAAGGTTCCAGAAGCCAGATTTATACACCGCGGTCTCGTTTGTTTTCTCAAATCACAGCGTACCTAAATCAGTCATGAAGTGGCTCCACTATTATGGCTCTCGCGGACCGACACTACTACGTAGTGGTGTGGACCTCACTCAAGCCTCAAATGAAGACGAGCTAGGCCTTAACATTAGTTCTACACAGGTGTGTTCCAAGAGAATGCTCGCTCAAGCTTTGAATAGCACGTCGTAGCACTCCAAGGTTTAAAAATCTGTGATGGATCAGTGGAATCAGTGCGGCCATCACGAGATCTTCGTTTTGGCGCACGTCCTATGAGTTAATCCCTTCTTTATGGTAATAGCTTGACCAAGTACTCTCGAAGCGCGTTTTGTCTCTGTTTATCCTCTTCAAGCTTCACAAGCGTCTTCTTTAACCATGTATCTTCAATGCCAATGGGCCCACCCAGGTCCAAGCTATCCCTCTAATTTCTCTCTCTCCATGGTGGAGTGAAGGATTTTATCTTTGCGCTGTGCTGGTGAGTGACATCTACGTCTAAAGGCCCCTACCAACATCTTGCGCTCATGTTCCACCCGGCGCAGAAAGAGCTAGCATACACGCAAGGATGTCTGTTGCGGTATCGTAGTTGGTCTGCTTGATATAGCGGACGACAATGACTGGCTGCCCCGTCAGAGAATGCGTGATAACCGTCAAATTCACTGCTGGGTGAGCAAATACGAACGGGGTCATGCCCTCAGAGCGGGCTGCATGAAGCAGTCGATTGTCTCGGAAGACTCAAATGCGCTGACTGCACCAGCGCCCCCAGAAATATATGAGTCCTACGATACGAAATGGTTTATATTCTCGAAGCTGCGGAGATGACATGCTTGAAGATCCCGGAGATCCCGGCCCGAAGCAATCCCTCCCGCTGCGAATTCGCTGAAGCCAGTACCAGAAACATTGACCAGAAAGTGCGTCGAGTTCCCAATTATTGTCGGTTGTTAGGAGATGAAAACCCAACTCCAGGGACCGAAAACTCAGTTTGAACACGATCTTTGTCGGGATGGATACTATATGAGATGGTGAGTCGCTCGATTGAGTGTCATTTGATGGGGGTTGCTCACGAATGAGTATTACATACTAGGTCGATCTGGCCACTAACCATCGCATTGGACTGCCAATGGATTCCAACCACCCATAAGAACCGAACCTATTCTCTGCGGTTTGGGAGATGCAGGTGATAGCAAAGCCACAAGTTCACTCCTTGCAGCAAGTTCAGGGACGGCCCAAGCACCCTCGCAGATCGATCAACACACACAAAGCACCCCACCAGTGGTGGGCGTGGGATAATAGCGTAAGATAGTGAGATAGAGTGGTAGATAAACAATGTAATGAATTGAAGTCTTGAATACGATTGGGGTTGCATGAAGTGAATCCCCAACCCGTGTCCATCCAGACCTGTATGGCAATAAACACGTACATATCAACACATCGTCCATCTCACGAAACCACGAATCGACATCCCAAATCACCCAAATGCAAGGTATCATCCCATCTCATAACCTCCGAATCTATTCACCCATACATACATAACCGCTCGCTCTCGCTCGAAAAGGGCCCTCAAGAAGCAGACAGAAGACGACACACACCCGCGCTCCACGCAATGCAAATGCACTCTTCGCTCGCTCGTAATAAACCGTAGACGGTAGTCAAACAACCAATCACCGTCGCTCATCCATGACCGACAGTACGTCAATTAAATACAGCGCTAATGAAGGCCGCAAGTGGGCGGAACGCTGCACTCGCTTGGAATATCGCATTAAGATTAGTACACCGATCTCCATCCGTCCGTTCGAATGCCTGGACAGCAAAGCAAATCATCGTGTCGGTGATCCGCTCAGTTAAATCTCCATCGGTAGATCCATCTCGGCCGTGAGTTCACCGCTCTCAATACGCTCGACGCGAAGCAATAACTCCTGCAAGCAAAATTAGCACCGATCACCCAGATACACAGATAAGTTCCTCGGGAGTAAAAACGAAGTGAAGAGAGGAATCAAAACATACCTTCGTCCCCCTCGCCACCCGAAACGCTACCGGCGGTACCCTCTCCCTCCCCACCCCATCCCCTCTCCTCCTCATCTCCATCAACTCCTCCCCCAACCTCTCCTTACATTCCTCCAACACACCCACTACCGGCGGCACATGTTTCCCCACCGCCCCCAACACCCCCTTGCCCCCCTGCTCTGCTAATCCCCTCGCCCGGGAGCTGATCTCCCCTGTGCTCCCGATAATGTCCTCCACGTAGCGCGCCACCGTCTCCGCGTCCTGCGCGGTTAGCTCCGCGCCGACGGGCCGCGCGCGGATGCTCGCGACGAGGGGTTGGATGGAGTTGACGAGCTGCGCGGTGCGGTCTTCGAGATAGTCTTTGAGATCGAGGACGGCGCGGCGTTCGTGGTCGTCGGTGAATTCCGTGCCGGGGTTCGCGGTGCCGTCCTCGGTGATGTCGTTGAGGTTGCCGTAGGCGTTGGTGTAGGCGTTGGCGTAGGTGGCGGCGGGGTACGAGGTCGGCGGGGTGTTGGCGTCCCAGGACGGGGTGCTGCGGACGCCGCGGGAGAGGCGGAGGGCATTGGGGTAGGCGCGGGAGCCGGCGCTGGTGGTGCTGTAGCTGCTGTTGGCGGAGACGCGGGAGAGGTTGCGGATGTGACCGTTGACGAGCGGCTTGACACTGTTGACAGGCCCGCCGTTCAGGGTCGGCGCGGCGGTGCTCCCGTAACTGGAGGAGTAGTAGCCGCGACTATCGGCGCCGCTGCCGACGCTGGTGGAGGAGTAGCCGCGGACTTCGCGGGAGGTGGGGGCGTCGTCGTCGAGGGCGTCGAATTCGGAGGGGTCGGCTTTGCGGACGCCAACGAGGCGGAGGAGCTCGACGAGCGCGGTGCAGAGATGGGATGCGGCGGCATCGAGGAGCGAGACGGGGGCGATGCCGGCGGCGCTGGCGTGGTTCTTCGATGCGGTGATGAGGTTGTTCGTGGCGGCGGACACGCGCATCTTCAATCGGTTGACCTGCTTTATGTGCTTTTCCGAGTCCCCATTCATCAGTCCCATGTTGTTCGCGTCCGACGCCTCAAGATCGTTCGTGACGCGGCGCACCGAGATGACCACGTTCTTCACGGCTTCCATGATCACGCGGGCATCTCCGCCACGTCCGTCACGCAGGAGATCGTCGATCGCGAGCTGCCAGCGGGATACCGCAACGTCGCGGACTGCACCGGCCTGCCGCATGAATTGCTCCTCGCGGGCAGCCGCCATGGCGTCGGGGATTGCACCGCCAGATCCACTCAGTCCCAAGGAGCTGGTCCTGACGCTCCGTAGCTGCGTCCTCGCGCGTGCATACCGCGTCTTCCAGTCCTTCAGGTCGATTTCAAGGTCGGCCACGCGTTTCAACAGCTCCTCTTCGCGGTCGACGGCTGCGGAGTGGGAGTCCGTGAGGGCACGCATTTCGGCAAGGAAGTGGGATGCTTCGGTACGAAGGGCATCCATAGCTTGCGGGTCGCTGGAAGGAGACGGGGGTGGACGGGAGGAGAGATCGACGTTTTCAAGACGGAGTTTGTCGATTTCGGATTTCAGGGAGTCGTGGAGTGATTGAGCATCGGTGATCTGGCGTTCGAGTCCAAAACGGGTGTTGGACCATTCGGCGCGTTCTTTATCGCGAGCCTGAAGGAGTTAGATGATGTTGGATAGAAAAGGGGTGGAACATACGTCTTCTCGATCCTTGTTGAATGCTCGAAGCTCGTCGATTTCCGAGACCTTCTCGCGAAGATTCGCTTCGAGACCGTCGACTTTCTCTTCCAATTGCGTGATCTGCGACCGATACTCGTCGATCATCTTACTCTATCCTCTTGTCAGTAACCTCTCAACTCAGTCAACCCTAAAAACCCACCTGAACGCCTCCAATGCTCGCCTCCGTTCCCCTCCTCGCCGCCCCCTCCAACCCAAACGCATCCATCTGATCATCCTCATCCTCCACCCCACTCGGCTCATCATCGTCCTCCACCATCGTACTCTTATTCGGCACGATCGTATTACTCTGAAACGTCTTCGGCAACGGCCTCCCCAAATCATTCCCCATCCCTCCCCCCATCGACCGCTGACTCGCCGAGCTCTCCCGTTGTGAATATCCATTCGCTCCCGGTGGCGGCATCCCCGGCCTCATCGATCCCGGCGGCCCCCTCGGCGGCCCCCGATACCCGCCCGGCCCCATCATCGACCCACCCCCTACGCTCGACGGCGCGCGGCGACTGCTCGCGGTGCTCGGGGCGGGGCTCGCCGCGCGAGACATCTCTGCGCCGGTAAACCGAGGATATCGGCGCTCCAGCTCGAAGTACACGTCGGTGGCCAGCAGGCGGAAGCGATCGGTCGGCAGGGTGCTCAGCTTCTGGCGGGCCTGGTTGCGCTTGAAGTGGAAGGTTTGTTTGGCGAGGAGATATCTCGGGATATCGTTGTTCGGCGCATTGGGGCCGCCCTTGGCTCGAACGGCTTCGCGTCGGAGGAGCTCGTCGTAGACGTCGGTGCTGAGCTCTTGGAATTGCACGAGGGTCAGCCGGAGGAGCTTGGCTTGTGCGCGGTCGTTTTGGCGGGCGGCGGTGGCTTGGGCGAGGGAGGCGGAGAGAAAGTTCTGGAGGACGTGATAGTGCTCGTTGAGGGATTCTTCCATGACGAAGGCGCGTCGCGAATCGATGCTGCCGGCGACGGAGGGGGCGCGGGGCCCGGTACCCATGCTGGAGCGGGCAATGGATGCGGGAGGGGAGGGGTGGCCGGGAGGAGGGCCGCGTGAGTCGGTAACGGTGGTGGATGCGGAGGTACGTCCGGAGCCAGCGGCGGAGGCGGGAGGGGTGTAGAGATTTCCTCGCCCGGGGGGCATGTGCATTTGTCCGTTCTGAGGAAACGGAGGACCTCCGGGGGGCGGATAGGGCTTGTGAGAGTTCGGTGGAGGTCCTCGAGGTCCTCCATGCCCTCCAGGTCCTCCATGCCCTCCAGGTCCAGGTCCACCATATCCTCCAGGTCCCCCAGGTCCAGGTCCTCCAGGTCCTCCAGGTGGACCGGCGGCCGCGTAGGGACCGCTGTCGTAACGAGGCATGGACCAGTCGTCAGCGGTGCCTACCGAGCCGGGTGGAAAGGCGCCATTTGGCATATGAGAAGTCATGTCGAGAGGAGGAAGCAAAGAAGGGAAGGAAGAAGAGTCGATGTCAAGGCGGTAAGAGGCGTGGTGCCAATGGGTGCGGCACTGCGGCGGCTTTTGATGTACTCAAGTGTCACAGGAGCCGCTGTCTCGATAGTGACTGGAAGATTTGACGCGATGATGAATCGCAGGTAACCGACGTTGCACAATCCAGAATCTATCTCTAACGTGGAATTCCTGGCATCGGTGGTGAAGGCACGAAGCAAAAACTTGCGACAGACAGCGTAGAGGAATGGAGCGGTCGTGCTTCTTGCCTGGTGGTGGTTGGAGAATGGGTGTTCCGAGGCAAGCCACACCAACTCTAGGCCTGCAAAATATGGGTAGATTAAAAAAAAAGCACAGTCGTCGGGTACCCGCTCGAAGCGGTAAAGAAGAGAATTAGTACCGAATTATATTGTTAAGGATCGGCTTCCTTCGCTGCATGCCAGATGATGCCACGAGGAGTGGTTTGAAGAGATCGACGGAGGGAGACTGTTGACACTTGACAGTTGACAGGAGTGGAGAGAACGACGAGAAGGTGGAAATATGGACGAAGACAAGCCTCGTGAACAAGAAGACCAGCGCTTCTGTGGACCAGTAAAAGGGATAGACACGCGAGCGAATTGGACTACGGGACAAGGCCTAACGGGTTACGGGATGATCGGATTGGGATAGTGGATAATACCTAACGGATTAATGGGAATGCCAAATTGACGATGGAGCTTCAACACAGTGGAGGAGGCTAAGCATTCGCGGTGGGAAAAGGGGGACCACCCAATCATTCGTACCTGAGTTCGAGTCGCGACAGGGGCTGCCGTATTCATTTGCTTTTTCGCGGCTAACTTTGTCAGATACCAGGATGACATTCATACATATAATGATATTGATTCGAAGCTCATTTCACTGTCTTTATGCCACATAATCCAAGTTCCACTCAGTATCTGTACGCATAAATACATGGAAATTGGAATCATCATTGGAATGGTTAAGCTGCGCTGGCTTGCCTGGTATCTGACTGCCTTGCAGCCTGCGGGGAGTGTGGCGTCCTAAGCGGCTTGGCACCAGGACCATCGGCCAGCATTTGATCTTCGCATCATTGGCGTCAAATGTCAATGAATGTTCCTCCACTTAACCACCTTCTAGAACGAGTCTGATGCTCGGCAGTTCTGAGATCCGTCGTGGGATTCAGGATAACCTGAGAACATCTATCATGGCAATTCTGTAATTATGCAGTATCCGTATCACTGCTCATGAAAGCTACCGGGCCAGCAGTGAGCAGTTTAGGAGACCACAAAGCTCGCCAACTTCAAGTCAACGTATCCTGACTCGAAGGTGGATTGGCCTTGCAACTGCTTGTATGGCGTGGGGTGGCTGCTTACCTGTACATACATAGTAATTATGTAGTACGTACGTATTCTCGTTTACACATACGCACACCCTGAGGGGACGCAGTATCTGTACGTAAGCGAAAGTACCTATGCAGCAAGGAGCAACAGGCAACGCTTCCCGCTATCAGGCCCAGACTGCAGGGGCGGTCGAAATGGAACCGTCAGTATCAAGATTCAAGTCCATCCTATACACTATCGTTGTTTGCCTTCATATCAAACACTCGGTTGATGGCGAAAATTCCGTCAGCTGTACGGACAGTTTCATGATGATCGACATCAAAAGGAAGATAATCAAGATATGGCTGAGGATCTACGATCCGGATCGTGTCGATCGCGTTGAATGCATCGATATTCGATACGTTTGAACTGCAGATCAGGCTTAATCGCCTAGACCTCATGTTTTCTGTATTCAGCGTTGCTAATTTGTGTCGAATCTATGCCCGTCGGTGTTGGCTTGGGCATTTCTTAAGATATATCCACCATTACGGAGGAGAGAACCGGCGCTGGAGCGCCCTCTTGTCATGAGTCGTATTTAAGCACGGTCTAACTCTCAATTCCCGTCAAGTCTGACTCTTGTTATCATGTGCTATTTATTCGAGCATTCATACACTTGTCTAACATGCTACGTCGCGTCGCCTCAGTCGATGAAGCGATATCCGCAGAAGCAGCCGAAGCCCGGTGACATTTCCTCCATCACTTCACCGTTAGCGTCTTCAATGAGGAAGCTCGGGGACCAAGCGACGAAGGAAGGGGAGATGCTGTGGAGAATGGTGAACTCGAACGCTTCCTTTCGCGTTTGAATGGTTATACTGAACCGAAGACGGATGATCAGACGGACACGGAAGCAGTTCATCGAATGGAGGAGCCCCATGTCTTCCGAACACACGCTCAGCACGTTGTACGCATTGGATTCTCAAGGACTCGGCCCGTTATAAGATTCTCTCGCCGTGTCATCGGCGCTCCACAGTGAGCGCTGTCAACCCCCTTTGCAAGCGTACTTATCCTACACGCTTGGGAAGATGATTCATCCTGTCGTTAACGCCGTCTGAACCGACGGTTGTTCTCATACTATAATACACTTAGCGGCGCATCTCCTTACCGCAAATAGGCAAGGTATGTGTGCCAAAATCACCTCATCCAAGCAGCTCTTCCCAACCACAACTATCACTCACTCATCCTCATCATCTGTCGCTACGAAATTTGGCCTCGACGGCTCGGGTTTCGACCCCCCAATACCCCTCACCTCGATCTTATCCTCCTCTGCCGATTCCGCTTTCAACTCATCATATTCCGGTCTCGCCACCTGCTCCTCTCGATCGTCCAGCACCTTCTCGATGTGCGGTAGCAGAGTGACAAGATTTGAGTACTGTTCCAGCGTAAGGGTAATTCCCTAGGTATCCCTGTGGTCAGATTCTAGATGTCCAGCATGGGGTTCAGTAGAGGGCTGAATAGAGCCTACCTTCCTCCCGGGCAACACCTTCCCGTCTTTCTCGTAATATTCCCGCAAGCTCACCATCGTCTTCCCTCTGTACTCGCTGATCGTGACCCGTCGAGTGTTAGAGATCTGCGCCCGGTCCTCGATTAGCGGGCGTGGATTGCGGGCTTGCGCAGGCGCCGATGGTCCAGACATACCTCCCAGAACAATCCGCCTTCGTCGTCGGTTTGCGGTTTATTATTAACTTTACTCGCGCCCTTTGAGGCGACCTTTGAGGTTTTGGATCTCTTGCTGGGAGCGGAATCGTCATGTTCGTCGGAGACGACGAAGTCATCGGCTTCGTAGTCGGCTTTGGTTCGCTTGGGGGGCATGATGCGTGGACTATGGTTAGGAGTGCTTGAGATAGGACCAAGGAGAATTGGAAGTTTTGAGCGTGATCGAAGAATGGGTAGAGGTAAATCGCTGTTGGGGGTATTTAGGATAGGTATAATGGTTGGACTTGACTAGTAGACGTGGTTGACGTTACGACGCGACGCGATTGAGGCCCCAAGGCAAACTCCAGTCCGACCCAGCAGTGCATCATATGTTGCTAACTTCTCCCATCTTCTGTATTACTTCTACAACAATATTTGCCTGCCCCAAACTTAGTACTCATTGTCATTCTAATGGTAGATACCGCGATACCAAACAGCCCTGACTGCCAGCCCTTCCCCGCCATTTGAAACGGGTGGATGCAGCGCCTCGTGAAGCGCTGGTGGCTGATGACAATGCTGCCTTGTCCTGCCTCCTCCAGGGCGTACGAAAGGCTCGAACCTCATGGAACTGATCGCTTTCAAAATGCGGAGGGTAAAACATCGATATGCACACCTCGTTTCGCGAACGTGGGCCAATGTGACGTGCCATGGGCCTTATCGGACAATCATCTAGCCGTATGGGATCGAGAGATTCGAGACCTCCTAGGCCTCAGCCTGGTACTGCAAGGCTGGAGATGCCTACCCGTGGGTTTTAAGTGTAGATCAAACTCTAGTTTTCAATCATGATCAATAAACATCTCTGTACCTTGTTCTTGCCCTTCCTGAGTCAGCGTTCTTCGACAATCAAGCCATTTCGTCATTCAGTCCAACAATGTCCACTTCTACCGGCCTCCCGTTACTTCCAAGTCATCGCCAGACACAAAGATCCGGGATTTCTCGAACAGGTACCAATGGAAGAGGTATATCGGCCGGTCACGTAAGCAGCATATCCACTGAACGAGCGGAGGCAATAGCTCGCAATGACGGGAGCTGGCTTTGTGATACAGGCGTCCTTCAGAGGTACATTCAGCGGCTATGCCAGGCTGAACCGAGCCTGCGGAGGCAAGACTCGTCGTCGGCTGCTATCGCCCCGTTACATGCGCGAAAGACGAAGACTTGCCTCATCGAGTCGTATGGAGATGGGTTCCAAGAAACGGTGGGACTTGGAGATGTGGACAGCACTCTGTGGAGTGAACACTTTCAGCAGCGGAGGCAAGAAATCAAAATAGAAAGGGTTACGAATGGAGATGACTCGCCGGATGAGCAAGGAACCCCAATTAGAAGTAGGAAGAGAAAGAGGATATACCTAGCTGAAGGCGTCACGCCTGCCCTGGTCAAGCTATTCGGAGAATTCTTCTGCGAACTGGGACTGGATCCCATGTTCTTCGCGCAGCATGTCGAGCGGGGGACGAAGATTGTTTTCGACGAACACATCGAGGTTCCCACCCTGCCGTCTGCCCATGACCTGTGCGACTATGCCTGTATCCGATACTATGACTTGTACAAATACAGCGGAAAGGAGGTACAGTTTGGTGAGGTTGAAGATGGTCGACACAAGTCGACAGAACATAAGAAGTTGCTCACGGCGAACTGTGCGGATACAGCTCGGCCAGTGATCTACCACCGTTGGCAAGAGCGTGAGGATGAGACTGTGTTGATCACGCCAAGGAAATGTTCTTTTTGGATACATAGATACAAGGACGGGGGATATGATGGTGAGTTAGTTCTCAACAATTAGGATCCTCTAGCTAATGTGTTCCAGCGCTCATACTCTGCGATCCGGCCCTCAAGCGGATAGCGAGAGGTTCGCCCATTGACCTCAATAACATGAGCAATTTTCTTGGGGGATATGCGGATTTCGTACCGAGGCCGGATGGATACAACAAGTTTTTGCAACATGAAGCTTCACAGACTGGAGACGCACGCTCCATATCGCCGTCTGACAATGACTCTCAGCATCAGCCGAGCCAGGGCATTTCGACCACTACAGAACCAGCACGAGAATGCCTTTTTGATGACCTGGTGTACTACTACACGAAGCATGGGCACCACCTCTCCGACGACGATCCATTCCTCTTCGTCAAGAAGATCTGCGCCTCGAAATACATTCAACTCATCTCCCTCATCAGCAACCAATTCGACGCCATCCGAACCGCCGACTGGAAAGATGCTACCTCATCCCCCAAGACCAAGTCATGGTTCGACCTCAAGCCCGCGAAACCCACCATCGCGATCAATACCCGCTCCCTAGAGAACGCCTGGTACCGTTTCCGAGTCCAAGAATACCTCGGAGATATCGAGACTACAATCCTCAGCCTTGGGATCCGCTGGAATGACCCCAGCTGCACCCGCACGCAAGACTGGCGGGACTGTCGGAAAGATTTCCAGTTCGCGGCGCAGCGGCTGAACGCGCTCAAGGACTACTATGACCGGTCGACGAACCACATCATCGGGCGGGCGGGGATGCAGGGGAACCGGCAGGCGATCGAAGAGGCGAAGCTGGCGAGGGAAGAGCAGGGGACGCTGAAGCTGTTGACGTATGTCGCGACAGTGTTCGTGCCGTTGGCGTCGATCGCGAGCATTTTTAGTATCGGAGACCCGTATAAGCCGGGGAGCAAGGAATTTTACGTGTATTGCGCGGTGGCGTTTCCTTGTTTGTTCATTGTACTTGCGACGGTCTTGGTGCTTGAAAAGGGCCCGGTTGTGAGAGATTTCATTTCTTCAAAGCTCGGTTGGCTATATATAGACGACGGAGCGTCAACGCAGAGTCGGCCCATACCAATATAACCAAAAAGATGATTAGTTGCTTGCAAATGCACACGATCCCATGTCCCTCTTCTGGACCGGCGCCGATGGTAAAATATCAAAGTCGAAGATATCGATCGGAAGCCCCATGGTGGTGCAGGCGTTTGGAATCTGGGACAGTCAGCCATTCTCAGTCGTCATCAGTAGCATCCGCGGTTTAACTCACATCCACAACACCGGCAATGTGGCCTTGTACAGGAGCACATGAAAGCAGCAGATAAATCTGGTAGTCATTATAGCCTTTCACGGTCAGCAGCTATAGCGTCGTAATTTCCCGGATAGAACCTACCGAATCGCTTCAAGTACTCGAAACACCGGAGCGTCGTCTGCCGATACGCGACCGTCGTATCCATGTAGTGCTGTTTGCCGTTCTCGTCGACACTGAATCCTTCGAAGTAGATGTATCGTCCCGGTCCGAATTGCGGCTCGACGGGGCCTGGAATGTAAATCGGAGACTTCATGGCGAGTTCGGCCAGGCCGTTCTTTATGACCGAGAACTTGAGGGTGATAACACCTGCCATTTCGATGGCGCCGCAGACTTGACAAGGTTATTTCGAGGCCTTCACGCGTGTCTTGAGGGGTCATGACTTACAAGAAATCTCTCCATCGCCCTCTGGAGGAGTAACCATCAGCATAGCACTTCACATCTGTACACCGGATTTACTTACGCGAGAAATGCAGATCTCCCACACTAAACTTCGCCCCTTTAACATGCACCGGCAGATACACCTTACTCCCTCGCGACAAGTTCTTAATATCGCAATTCCCACCATGTTCCGGCCTTCCAGGAATCGTCCTCGCCCCCTCCCTCCCCACCCGTTCCTTCATCTCCTTATCCGCACTCCCCGCATGCACATTCACCGGCTCCGGCAACTTCGCCACCTCCCTCCCCACCTCCGTATTCGCCGCCACCAGCTCCCCCTCTCTCCGATTCCACGTCTCCAATACCTCCTGACTGGGCGCGCACCCCAGGATCCCTGGATGGATCAGCCCCGCGAACCGCACCCCGGGGATATGCCGACTGCTGCAGTGGATCCCCTCGAAGTCCCAGATGGCTTTCGCGGGCGCGGGGTACAGTTCGTCGAGGAACCCGCCGCCATTCTCTTTCGCGAACACGCCTGTGAAGCCCCAGGGTTGCTCTTCTAGGGGCTGCACGTCTTGGATTTCGACGAGGAGGACGTCGCCGGGTTCGGCACCGGAGATGTCGAAGGGGCCGGTGAGGTAGTGCACACGGGTGAGGTCGACGTCGCGGACATCATTGGCAGAGTCATTGTTGCCGATTTGGCCGCCGGTCCAGTCGATGCATTCAATTTTGACAGGTTCGCCGGGGGTGATGGTGGTGACCGAGGGGACTAAGGGGATTGTTAGATCTGGCCGTCCGTTCGGTTTCTGAATTAGGATAATTACTCACTATCGGGGTGCCAGCGATTCTGCGGTAAGTCAGCCAACACTGCACAGAATGATAGGTATTTGTAAAAGCGGTCATACATGTAAGCATGCCTGCTCAGCGGCGGGCTTCTCCAGGTCCACCTTCGCGGCATATTTAATTCCCTTTAGACCCATAGTGAACGAATGAATGTAAAGACAGCTAGGTTTATGTTGAAGATTCTCAGAATTGCACTCAATTGGACCTCAAAGGTAGATGACTCGAGCGAATTCTAAGAGCAACAGAACGAGGAAGGAGATGTAAGACTTATAACCAACTCGGGGGAGCTCTACTTGTTTCATAACAGTCCTGTCAACTGCCGCGTCAGGGTTCGTCAATGCCAGTATTTCGATTGATAACATGTACTATCCAAGGAGATAAAGCTATCAGAGAGCTCCGATTCTGGCGGGCGAATGTGATGTCAGGGATGGGAAATCTGGACCCAAGGGCGCGAAGGGCGGGGTTAGCTAGCCCCTAGGAAATTCTGGACGATCCAACATCGGCATCGGATATGATAGGCAGATATGGGCTCGGATAAGAAGAGAGCAAATGAAAAAGGATTTGGCTGTGCGGCTTGTCGCGGTAAGGAGATCGAAGGCACCATGCAATGTGAAGCCCGTTGTAATTGATACTACATTGGTATCTGTCATTGTCCTCTCTAATACAAGTATCCCACCTTGTTGAACCCCTATCCATGTAACTCCATGTTTTCGTCTCATAGCATACACAGATGTGTAATCCGCATATGCTTATGCCAGTACCCATATTCATGGTGGATCATGCACCCGTACACAGTGATACTTCCCATCTCGACGTCCTTCGGATAGACATGACAGTATGAAGACACCCACCAAACACGCCAATCTGAGTAGGACCCTACTAAACAAAGAGACTCTGGTCACCTGCCTCCTTAACAAGATCCGGGAGACCCTCGTACTGCTTGATCAACGCTTGGAGTCTGGCAGACTCAGCAGGGAAATTGAGAGGAGCAGCAGAATTGACCTGATATCGAATCCTAGAATAATGTCAGTAAGCATATGGTACGACGGGTAGGTTGGTAGCAGAACTCACCGTTGCTGGTCCTGGTAGGTGTCCGTCTTCGCTCTGCAACGGAATGTCAACGTCTTGAGGTTCGCATCCTCGAACACAAGCGTATTATTCCCCTCCTCACCCAGCGCATGCAGCTCGTTCGCACTCATCCCCATGACGACGTTCCCCGGCTCGTCGAAGCACGTCAGCCACATCGATCCGGTGTGATCGACCACGTTGATCGAGATGATATACCGGTAATTCGGCGCGTCATGACTCTTCTCGCACCACTCGCATCGCCAGTTCCCCGGCTCGATCTCCTGAACCTTGCGGTTGCAGCTGTCCCCTTTGCAAGCCGCGTAGCAGTAGTTCTCACGCTTGACATAGGAGATGGTGGCTTTGACAGTGAAGTACGCCGGTTCGTTGTGCATGCCCAGCTCCTCGTCCTTGACTTGCCCGATTGTCTTCAGCTCGTTGGACCGCGTCCCCCCCATGTCGCCGGCTCCAGCCATGTTCTGGAACGTGGTAAAGGTATCGGTCTTGCCTTGGGCGTCAAACCATCCTTTGAGACGGAATGCATCGTCGATGTCTGGGCTGACGGTCATGGAGCCGGAGCTTAGGAGGGAAAGACTTCGACCGCCGAAATCTGAGACTTTGCAGCCCTTGAACGCGATGATACTTTCCGGCATGGTGTCGAAGTTGGTGGCCTGGTTTCCCCAGATCGTCAGACGTACCGAATGCAACGAATCGTCCACGAGTGTGAGTTCGCGCTTGTCGTATGGCTTGCTGGTGGTCTTGGAGACGATCTGGGATAGCTCGCCAACATCTTTGAGAACACCGATGGTATCGATGGTCGTGTCCTTCGCGATGTCTTGGAGGCTGCCAATGGGTGTGAAGTTGTAGCGGACTTGGGGAGCGTTGGATTGATCTTCGGCCTGAATGGTATTAGTAACATTTCAGGCGCGCAGACAATCTGCTTACCTTCTCGACCTGTGTATCCCTCTCAAACACAATCTCATACTCGTTGTTGATCTGAGTGAATTGCCGCTTCGCAATATTAATCTTGGCAGGACTGGAAATGTAGTACACCATGCCTTCCTGGAAAAGGTCATATAGATTGTCGCACTCAGCATTGAAGCCAGTCGCCCGGATCTCGCCGCCCTCGTCCAGAAGGTTGACGCTGAAGAGCTTGCCTTCTCCACTCTGCTTGTGCCAGGTCTTGATATCCGACTTATGCGTGCAACGGACTCGAATGGTCCATTTGTTCTGGTATGGACTGAGACCCTCGATCGGAAGAACGTGTGGATGAGCGCCACCTCCAAAGCCAGGTCGAGGATTGTTGGAACGTTGAGGGATATCTTGCGCTTTCGATTCGGGCTTCGCACCGTAGAAGTTGTCACCCGTTATTCCAGCTGGCTGCGGCTTTGCGCCGGCGTCTTTTGCCGAGTCGAGGATTTCGGAGATGTTTCGAGGATTTCCAATCTTCTCCTGCGTTCCGTACTGGGCGAGTACCTCCATCTCTTCGATCATTGCGAATCTACATCTAGTCAGCACGAGGACGAACCGGAGATGAAATGTACTGACTTGGCTCCGGTGGCGTTGGATATAACGAGCTGATGCTTTAACACCCGGACAAGCTGGCCCTGGCGCAAAGAGCCTTCGTCCACAAGCGGACAGAGATCTGTGACAAGTAAGCGATCCGATGCATTTGAGATTTGTAGAAGCGGAGGACGTACGCGCATCAAGAATTCCGAACGCCGTGAACTGAGTATCGTTCATGACGAGCCTGATCCGTCTAGCACCACCTGGTTTCGTTTGCTCACGAAGGTTGATGATTTGCACGACGAACTGCTCATCTTTGATGCCATCTTTGCCAGTTTCGACAAAGATTCGTCTGGACTGTCATTAGCGATCATGCAATGATTTTGCGGACGGTGGACGAACTTGATGATGCCCTGGGTAATGGTCTCTTTGGCTGCAGCTGCAGCAGGTGATTCTGCCGTCATATTGATGGATAATGTGATGTTTAACTTCCTCCACGAGCAATTGTTAGGCAGCGTTGTCATGAAATTAAATCGCTTCGCGGTGGCAAGTTGATGGACGCGTTCAGCATTGCGACGCGTCGTCGCGCTAAATGAGATGATTCACGTGACTAGAGGGGAAGTTTGAACTTTGAAGAGCATAGGGTACGGAATACACCACTGGTTGGTTACTGGACACTCCTAAGGCGTTGAAAACGGTCAATTATTACATTATTTTCGCCCCACATTTATTCTCTTAAGCTTTATTTCACTCTGTTTTGTTGAGGAGAAAAAACTACACGTACAACACCCTTGGGATGGCACAGAAAGGGGACTGGGGAGGATGCCAAAGGGAAAGGGACCATCACTACCCCGCAGCCAAGCACTCCGCCCCACCCCGCTCCGCTCCGCACCCCAACCTCTCAGACATGAACAAAGCATTCCACGAATCTCACCTTATGCTTATTTGAACTGTGTTCGGAGCGAAATCTTTGGTTGAAGAGTTTATAAATTGATATCCGCTCATTTGTTCAAGTCCATTGCAATCATGTCTGAACCTACGCGCACGGCCTCCGATCCTACTACCGACGATGTTGCGACGAGAGCTCCGGAAATGGACGCCACTGAAACGGCACCGATGACGTCTGGCGATAGTCAGGCACAGGAGGGGGCCGGCATGGGAGTGAGTGGCGTTCAAGGCATGAATTGAAGAGCCGTCTTCTAATGAAGTGTAGGAGCACTGCGTGACGGATCGGCCGACTCGTAAGGACCACAGTTCTATTAAGCCACCACTATTGACATTCAGACAGCTATTGGAGAGGTGCCGACTGGAGTAAGAAGTCTCGAAGCATAGATGGAAAGGAGCTAATATAGGAGTAGGAGATGGCCAGCTTGGGTTCGATAGATGTATAGCATACCCCATCCATTGTCTGATCAGACAGTGACCGTTGTAGTGCTACATATCTAAACCCTCCGACTATCCCCACTCGCCGTCCAAGCTCCTCCTCTTCCTCACCGGTGGCACCGGTATTAAATCGACGAACAACCAATTGCAGGCGGACAAATATGCGTCGGAAGGCTTTGTCGTAGTCATGCCAGATCAGTCAGTTCTCCCGACCTCACGAACTCACTCCAGCGCGCAGTCTGACATGTCTCGTCTAGATTCGAAGGCAACCCCGCCCCCAACTCCGCCACCGACTCCGTCGACGACGCCTCCCCCATCATCGAAAAACTCAAACACGGCGCCGCCGATGTCGTCAAGTCTTTCCGCATCGACATGTGGCTCGCCTACCACACCCCGCAGCGCGTGCTCCCTGTCCTACACAAAGTCCTCGAAAGCGCCCACGAGGAATTCGCCGACGCCGTGGCAAACGGCGGGGGGGTATACGGTGTCGGATACTGCTTCGGGGCCAAGTACATCTTGCTGCTCGCCGGGGAGCACAAGGAGACGCTCGGGTGGGGGAAGACGGAGGTGGATGAGGAGCGGGGGATCACGACGACGGGGCCGATGATCAAGGCAGGGGCAGTGGCGCATGGGACGCTAGTTGAAAAGGAGGATGTGGCGGGGGTGAAGGTTCCGATGTGTTTGATCTGCGTGGAGAACGATTCGCTGTTTCCGGATGAGGTGCGGCGGCGGGGGGTGGAGGCGCTAGAGAAGGCGGAGGTGGAACATGAGGTGAAAGTGTACCCCAAAGTTCCGCATGGGTTCGCCGTGTATGGCGATTATGAAGATCCGGCGATAAAGCAAGCGCAGGATGTGGCGTTCGGGCAGATGCTTGGGTGGTTGCAAGGCCACTGACGGTCTGGTTTCCTTATTGTTAGCCCACGATTGCGCTGAATTGGCGAGGTCCTTGTCTTACCGTCATGATATCCAATGACCACTCCAGCAACCTCCCGTCATGAAATCTGTCTCTCGCTCATCCTATCCGACCGTTCCATCCCCAATCTTCAAATCAGCTCCACATCTCCATTCTCCCACCACTCCCTCACCACACTCCACCGCATCACCCACACATCCCCCCTCCGCATATCCGCCTCCGTATCCGTCCCCTCCACCCTCACCGGCCCTATATCCCGCAAACACCGCACAAACACCGCCGCCTCCTCATCCGGTCGATCCACCATCCTCACCCCCCCACTCGCATCGTCCAACCGCCGCAACCCCGCCGGAAACTGCCCCAAAAACGCCACCGCATAATGCTCCCCTAACAACCCTTGCCTTGCCCCCAAGTACTGCCGCTCCGCCGCCGACAACCTTCCACTCACCTCCGCATCCTCGAGGTAAAACAGTGGATAGTCCGCCAGCTTCGCGATCCGCGCGCGCAGCAGCGCCCGCACCAGGTACTTCCAGCGCTCCACCTCGGTCTGCAGCACCACGAGGCGGAAGTTGGCGCGCGGGTCGACCTTGCCGGTTTCGTGCTCGACGAGCTCGATTTGCGCGGCGATGCGGGCGAGGACGCGGGTCATGAGGGCGGAGGGATAGGGGAGGAGAGAGGGAGCAACGCGCTCGGCGATGAAGGCGCGGGTGAGGGATTGGAGGTCGAGGAGGGAGGGGGAGACGGAGGGGGGGGAGACGGAGGCGAGGATGTCGGAGATGTCGATGTCCATTTGGTGGGTGGGAGGTGGTTGGAGGGGGGAGTTGGAGGGGGGAGTTGGAAAGGTGGTGGACGTTGAGGGTGTGGAGAATAGGACTTTATGGGAGATTGAAACCCATTGGAAGACGGACGATGAGGTTCGGACTTCCTTGAGCATAAGAGAAGGGGTTTCAACTTAGAATACTATTAACAACTCCCGAACATTCCACGATGTAGAAATACCGCTTCTTTAACATCCGCCGATGTTGACCAACAGAGCGGAACTGACGATCACTTTATAGCCTGAGGCATCAATACATGCCTGACGACAAACCAGACTCTGACTGGATCGTCCAAATCGATATCTCCCTTCCCTCCGGACACCACCTCATTCTCGCTCGCGCAGTGCATGGAATGATGAAGCGGGTCCTCAGTGGGAAGATGGATAACGATACGCAGGATCACCTAAACCCAAGAATTTATACAAAATTTTCTTTCATTTTACCGACCTCGATCAGAAAAGTAATACAATACAGCGTTCCCCATCCATCCATCCATCCATCTAAAACGTTCGTTCCGTTCCAGGAACAATGTAGCGTGTGTGTACCTCTCTCTCTCCTTTTCGCGTTCTCCATCTTCACATCACATCTTTTCCTCGCATCATCTGAAAACAATCAAACTGCCGCAAACGGCACGAGACAATCGGTCCACAGCCGCGTATACTCCCGCGATCATCGCAGGAGGGGCTGTGGGAATTAGAAACAAACAATAAAGGGGGGGTGGTATCTGTGTGCGAAGGATTCATACAAAAGACCCCCGGGTAGTGGAACGCGGTGGAAAGCATGGACTCGGGGGGTGGGAAGGAGAATGACTTCCTGGCGCCGAAGGAATAGAGGGCGAGGAAAGGGACGCTCGGGGAGCGGGTTTTGAAGTTCAGAGGATGGTACTCGTGAAAAAAGGGTAGTTGGTCGGTGGGTCGATAGGAAGAAAAGGCAATAGGAGACGTTTTCGTGAGTGTGTAGACAACGCCGTCCGTGGCGGTAGACATAGAAAGGTACGGTGATTGACGATCGTGGTGAGTTGAGCCAGGATTTCTGTCAGCTCGACGAAGGGACAGCTCGAGAGGCTCCGAAGATAAGAAAAGGTCCGTAAAGTTAGGCCGGTGGCCGGAAAGTAAGATACTCAGCGAGCATGTTCGAGAAACGAAGAAGAGACGTGCGTGAGAAGTCATAGACTGCATTCGACACCGCCGAAATGCAACCATCGTGGAACGCCCGCTTCCCCAAGCGGGAAAAGCGATATCAGAAATAGAAATGCTCAATGCATGATGCAGAACCGCTCAATACGACGCCATCCGCTTGGTAAGGGACCGTCTCGTATCGAAGACATTATTCGCCTCCGCCCAGTCGTCTTGTCGACCCAACACCATCCGATGGCTCTGACTCCGCCCCTGCGGTGCGGTCGGGCTCTCCTGGATGCCGCCAAGGGTCATCCCGGTGATGTTCCGCTGGCCGAAGGCGTACGTCTGCGCACGGCTGAGCTTCTTGCGCTGGCGGAGGCGGTCCATGCCGCGTTCGCAGGCGCGTTCGTGTTCCTTGGAGCCCATCTCGACGTAGGATTGGGGGACGCAGCGGGTGCGGTGGGCGTTGAAGAAGGCGGAGTAGCCGCCATCGAGGATGTAGACTTCGGGGTAGGTGAGGCGGGGGTAGTGGTTTGCGTTGACGGCGCGGTCTTGGGCGCGGATATATTTCGCCCTGGAAACAAGTTAGGGATGGCGAAGGGAGATGGTTGAGGTCATGGCTTACATGAGAGGTGCACGATGCACGGAATATTCACAGTGGAGGATGAGAAGAGTTCTCTGAGATGGTGAAGGGCAGTCGAAGAGCTCTCGGGCTAACTTGTCCTTGTCGTTGTAGTTGTCCGCTCCGTCAATGTGGCCGCCATCGAACTCATACTCGAATCGACAATCGACGACGACGGTGTTGTCGAACAAATGTGCGAATTCCCCGTCCAGAACGCGGATCATGGTGTCGGCATCCAGGCGAGGCAGACTGTCTGGCTCATGTGGTTGCAATGAATGAGGTAACTTAAGCTGATAAGCATCATCCACATCCATCACGGTAGGAAGAGCATTGCCCTGGAACGGCGAAGAATCTTGCTTCATCACATCTCCAGGATGCTCGAACATGCTGTTGGAGCGACGGAATTGCTTCCGAGGACGAGGGAAGGGACATTGGCTCCGCTTGACCTGTCCGCTGAGTGGAGATCCATTCCCTCGAGTGTTGTTGGTGTTTAGAAATGAGGGACGTGAACGAGGGGGTCCCATGAGTTGAGGGGAGGCGGGCATCTTGGCCGGTGGGGAGGCCATAAAGGCGTCATCCAACGAAAGAGTGTTGGGTGAGACGGAGATGTTGGTGACACCACCTCCGAACTTGAAGGGCGGAAGCTGGTTCTCTGGTCGAGAACGGGGAACATTATATGCAGACAGACACTTGGTTCGGTTGAGGGATGGTCGTGGGAATGGACGACGGTTCCTTGAAGCTGTCAGTTGAGAAGAATCTGTGCCAGGACACCAACTCACTCGAATCGAAAGCTTTCATTCCTGGGCATACTGGTGAAGCAGTCTTGAGTGTCGGTGGGAAAGATCATGTCCTCTCGAGAGTCAGGGCTCGAAATCTGAAACTTGATTTCTGACACTCGTGCAGCCGGCTTGTGCGGAAGAGGGGAAGAGACCATAATGTCATAGCCAAACCCCGGGGACGACGGAATGGGGGGTGTGGTGCTTCCTTTGAAGCGAATTGGCGGAGTTGTGGCTCCGTCTGAGACCGACGTTAGCTTGAGGGAAGGAAAATATGGAGAGGTGATATTTGACATACCTCTACTCGCAAAGTCCTTGAAGATATTGGATGTGAACAGGGAACGGCGAGGAGTGGGAGGCAACTGCGGACTGTAATGGCACAAAATTCATGGTAAGCTCATGCCAGTTCCATATGCGGACGCTTGGACAAGGAATGTACGTACCTTTGATCGATATGGAAGTTGGACGAGAGGTCAGCGGCCAAACTCGCGGAGGGTGAAGATCCTCGCAATGGTTTAGAGGTGGCGAAGTAGTCCTTGTTCTCATTGCTGGTATGTCTCTTCATGCTCATGTCCCTGAAGTTGAAGCTGTTTGGACCAAGTTGTGATGAGCTCTCAAATCGCCCTCCCAACTTCCACACATTGGGCTGAATAGCCGCGAGAGGCGATGACAACTCCATGGTGGATAATTCTTGTAATTGCAAATGTTGCCAATCGGCTATGGATGTCCCCCAATTGATTTCTCCAATTGCTCTCCTAACGGTTGCTGGTACGATGTGATCCGTGTAACTCGATGTCTGGGCGGAGCTCGATATCAAGCCGTCCGGTTAGGCTCGAGGGTAAGAAACCTGCCGGCAGAGTAGGATGCACGTAAGATTGGAAATCTAATTCCTATCTAAAATGCTTCTATGGCTGCTGGGAGAAATCCTTCGCAAGGTAAGATCTGCTGTGTGGATGGTTAGAGAGCTGGGACGCCGGACGGCATGTCAGGATTGCTGATGATTTGCGTGCTCGATCGATAACCGTTGCGGGGGGGAACCAGGAGCTGCTGCCACTCGATGTCGCCCGGTCGAGCACAAATCCGTAGCGAGAGTGGCGGAAGGAAGGTGGAAATGGGAAATAAAAGAGCGAATATGATTAATATCGAAGGAGGGAACGATGGTAAAAGGATGAAGGACTGAGGCTTGAGGGAGCACCAGAGCAGCGGAGGAGCAGAAGCTGTGCAGAGCAGTGGAGGTTCAGGCGTGGAGCAGTTGAGAAGGTGCAAGGAAGAGCCGTTGCAGTTGTCTCGTCAACGAATCCGCTCCCATTCTCCCAAGCAACCAAAAGAAATCGTCACAGGTGGGTGCCCTCACTTACTGGTCTTCGGCTCTAAGCGTCGGCGCTTGCAATTGATTAAGAGAGCAAACTTGCAACTGGCAAACTTGCTGACCGACAAATCATATCCGACGCTTGTTTGCTTGGTTGCTAGGTGGAAATCTTCCCGTTTAAGAAGATGATGATCTTCGCTCACGATTGACGCGAATCGGGATTGATGGATAGCGTGCCGCTTTTCAGTTGCTTATTCCTCGATTCGACATTCGATTCCCTTCTTGAAAAAGAACCGCTGTCAATCGTCTGATTTTGGTAGTAACTCCGTGCTTGGATAATTGATATTGAGCTATCTGACGTAGTATATCCGATGCGGATGTAAATGCACCGAAGCGGTTGAGCTTGATATCCTCCCATCTCTACCATCTGGTCTCGTTCTGTTCTCCCTTGCTTCTAAGCAACATTCTAGAAACCATTCATATTCGCTTCTTCCTCCCGTCGTGTAACTTCCCCTCTGTCGCTCTCCCAGTTCGGCTCCGTATCACCCTCTCGGGGCCGGGGCTTCCCCCATTCCCCTTCCCTTGATTCGCATCTTCCACAGTCAAATCGTCAGAAGTAAGAACCCAGACGGCAAGCCCGCGCAGCTAACCGCTCCCAAGACCCAAATCCACAGACCAAACCCCCGCTTGTCGTCACGCCCCTCGCACCAATGCACCATCCCTCCCCCCTGTCCGCCTGTCCTAGCAACCAGATCGAGGTTACATCCCTCTCCCACGGTCATTGGCCCAATTCTCAAATGTAGCGCGACCTCGCAGAGGCATGGCGCAAAGGGAGGTCTGTGACCCTCGTCTTTCAGCTGAAGATTGAGGAGAGTGAGCGATGCAGTGACGCTGATGCGGAGACATTTTGTTGGCACCGTACCAGGAGTCTTCTTGTGCTGGTTCCTGACTTCCTGCGGTAGCCGCGAGACGGACGAGGGATTTAGGGCAATCCTTCGTGGTTCCGAAGCGCTCCAGCAATCAGCATATCTGGATCGCGAAGTTATGGAGACGTCTTGCTAGGCACTTGAGCTTTGAAGGCTAAGACGCCGACCCCAAGTCTATTATTGATCATGAAAAGCAGATTTCCTCGAAATATTCCCGTCTCTACCACCCCCAAATCCTGCTCTGCATATGCAAGCACAATGACGGCGAAGCTGACGACAATATCCTGCACCCTCGTGGCGACTATCGTCAGATCCATCATCCAACGACAGTCAGCGCTTCTCAGCAACTGTATCTTCCGGCGATAACGCTGATCAGCACCACCCTCGCTTGGCTTCCACCATCATCCAAGCCTCCTCTCAAATCATTGTCACTGAACGGCAGCCCCGAGGTCCCGTTCCCCCCAGTCCCTGTCGTGTCGGCAACCCCTCCCTTCGAATCCGGTCAATGGGCGGGTGACCGGCGCGATCTCCATCAGCTCAGTAAACAGCACCACCTATTATGAATCAAGGAACCACCCATAGTTATTTGTGCTGGGGGTTATTAGTACTGTAGTATGACTCTTTATTGAACCCGGTCCTTGCATCATGCATGCGAGGCGTTTTCGGGGTGCAGCAGTCAGTGCTGGTCGAAACGCAGCCTTGTCCTGTTCGCAGCGGCTCGTAAAAGGTCCAGAGCTTGGGTTTGGGAGACGCGTTTGGCAGGTTTGTCAACAATGGCACGCGTTCTCCACTTGATAGGAGTTCCTGTGACTTTCCATTGCCAAGACGCTCCCTTACAAGTTACATCAGATGACGCTGCGCCCTGCAATCAATAGCTTTAGTTTCGTTGAAAGATTAACATGGTGACTATTAATGCAGAGTGATGTCAATAGTGAATATTTACTTAGATAGTGTCAATATTGTTTTTGGGTCGTTGAATCTGTTCGATCGGTTCAAAAGGATCGGCAATGCGATTAAGTCCTTTGTTTACACTTGCGATAGACTTCAGTGCTAGACATGATGCATGGCTGCATGCATCCTGGATCCGATTACGGGATAAGAGACGTACAACATTGTTCAACACCTCAACACGAAATGGCGAAACATCCTCGTGTAACTGGAAAAGAGACTCTGCATAAGCGTAATACGTAGTGCCACCGAGATCGAGATCCTCCAACTTCCAAGGGTAAAGGCGATGGGTGATGATGTAACCCCGCAGATAACCACACGATGTAATATATCCGAGGCACTTCAATCGAGTCATCATCCATATCGCGTGATGGGAACCACACAAGACGAACGAGAGTGCGTTTCCATGGTCGGATTCGCGCGGTTGTGGTGCCCCGCTCGATATCCTGCTAACAATAGCCACTCTGAGAATCGTAAGAACGCCAATTTGGACCCAACCACGGTAACCAGACCTCACCCCATCTAAAGCTCCAAGAAAACGCATGCAAGTCATCCACACATTCCTCAAGGCTCAAACCGGCACCAAATCATCGTAGTCAACCTCCATATCCCCATACTCGTCCTCCTCATCCTCCACCACCCTCCTCCTCACCCTCTCCCTCTCCCTCATCTCTGCCTCCTTCCTCAACATCCGAATCTCCTCCTCCGCCATCTTCGCCTGATGCCGCCTCAAATCATCCATGTCCCACGTGCTGATCCCCTCCTGCAAATGCGCCGGATACGCCTTACTCATGCCCTTCAAAAACGCCTTCGCTACCGCCGTCGCCTGGTCCACGCTCAGATTCGTGTCGCTGTCCGGGAGGCTCTGCTGGATCCACTTCGGCAACTGCCCGCGCTTCTTGAGGAAGCGTCGGTCCGCCAGCACCATGATGCCGTAGTCGTCCTTGCCGCGGAGGACGCGGCCGAGGCATTGGGCCGCGTGACGCATCGCGTCGAAGGAGAGGAAGTCGGATTCGCGGATGCGGTAGTTCTCGCGGAGAAACTCGAGGCGGGCTTTGAGGATGCGGGATTCGGTGTATTGGTAGGGAACGCCGATGTTGATGACAGCGCGGCCGTAGTGGTGGTCGAAGTCGATGCCCTCGCTGACCTTCCCGCGGGCGACGCAGAGGAGGACGGCGCCGCGGCCATTGTTGCAGGCGGTGCGGTAGGTTTCGAGAGCGAGGGAGGTTTCTTGGGAGTCCGGGGTTTCGACGAGAATGAGCTTGTATTTCCAGACCGTGTCGAGGATACCCATGCCTTGCCACATGCTGATGATGGATTCCATGTAGAGGTAGCTGGGGAAGAAGACAACCACGCCGTCCGGAGTGAGTTTGCAGAATTCGATGAGAATGTTGCCATAGTTTCGGACGACCGAGGGGTCGTTGCGGACTTGGAAGCTGGTGCTGATGGTGTTCTGGTCGCTGCCGCGGGTGATGATCATGGGTAGGAATGTTTTGCGGGCGAGTGTCATGGTGTAGGACTCTTGGATGACCGTTGTGAAACCGAGCATCCGCGGGTACATTTCCAGAGGTGAGATGGTTCCTGAGGTGATGATGACTGAACTGAAACGGTCGAAGACCGGTTTGATGGCTATGGCTGCATCGAGACAGGTGAAGTGGAGAACGGGGTTTGGGACCGTCGCAGTATCGGACTCGAAAGGCTCAAGTATAAGAGTAAACCCATGCTCATAAGTCGCCACGAGCGTCGCAAATGTTGCAACCTCTTGTAATGGTTGGTAGTCCTCAATGTTCGTCAACTCAAGCGTGCGGACAAGGGACGTCAGCCGCTCCGCACAGAACCGTAACGGCTTCCTCTCGATGAAGGTAAGTTCCTTTAGATGCGCTAAGAACGACAACGGTGTCTCGGAGATGACATGGAGCACTTTCATCCGAGTCTTGAGGTATTCTATGAAGCGCTTCAGGAACGATACGAAATGCTCAGCTCTTCGAATATTTCCGGGAACGGCTTCTTTGAGCAGGTCGTCCGGTAGAGCAGGATTTGACATGAATTGATCCTCTTCTCTTGCTTGATCTGCGCCTCGTAGTCCTTCAACGAGTTTGGAATACTCGTCTTGCAGCTTCTGTGCATCGCTCGCCTTCATCTCGGTGATCCTCCGATCGAGATTGTTTGCTCCTCGCGCCGCTTTTCGAAGTGAGTCTTCTGTGAGGTCGATGCTCAACGACTCGATACACACGTTGTCGATGTTATGCGCTTCGTCGAAAACCACGATGCAATCCTTCGATAGCTCTCGTGAGACGCGCTCGGCAATCTTGGGGTCTAGAAGGTAATGGTATGAATAGATAATGACGTTACAGAACGGCATCATCCGTCTTGCGGTGAAGTACGGACACTGCTTCTGCTGCTCTCCATATTGGAGTAGGCCATCAAGCGTCCAAACTCCGGGGGGTATCAAATTGTGTGGTTCAAGCAAATCCAGATTCTCGTGATAAATGCAAAGCTCGACATCTTCTCCCTTCTCTTTTTGCTCTTTGACAAAGCCGGCCGTTAAGCTTCGACATCTCGCATCGACCACCGACCCACTCTTCTCCCGTTTTACAGAGGGATGCAGACACAAGTTCTTTCGACTCGTGAGACCCAGCCCACGGAACTCCTCTTCGTACCCTAGCTGCTCGGTGCGGAATGCCATTAATTGTCTCAGCTCTGCCAGAGCCTTTTCGATCTCGGACATGGTACCTGTTCACGTAAGGATCAACTCCATAGCAGATGGTGAGGCTACTGTACGTGAGCAGTAAATCAGCTTCCTCTTCTCGGGGCTATTCTGCTGGTAGGCTATGATCAGAGAAAGCAGGGATACGGTCTTCCCGGTTCCTGAAGGCATCTCCAGGACGCAGTGCCCACCTGCGTCCAGAGTTCGTTTGAGATCGCACATGTATGCATATTGTTCGGGATAGATCCTTGGGTAGGGGAAGAGCACCTCCAGCTCGCTGCGGCAATTAGCTTGAATCTGGTGATTCACGGAGATCGTACTCAATATTGAACCTCATCGTTCCAACAAACTCCGGCGAGTTGGATGAATTTCAAGAAGCTACGTTTGAATCAGACTCATTAAAGTGATGAATGATGTTTGAATGGGCTGCGGCTGCCTAAGGTAAGGATTGAATCTCCTGGCCAATTAGAGCGCGTCGAATTCAACCTCACCCGACTTTGCGAATAATTACCTTCGCCAGGTAAAGTATCAAATCGGTGGGCACATCTAAAGGCTCTTGAGTCCCGATAGTATGTCGGTCAATACCAAGATAGCTCTTATAAACATGGCAGGCATGGTAAACTTAGCGCCGAAACATTTCTCGACGTTAAAGCGGGCGATATGTACTATTATCCACTCTACCACCCTGGTCTCCGAGACGATCGCCCAGATGGTGGACGGTCTTCCAACCTGTGACATTTATAAAGAGTATTATGGCTCGTACCGAATCGATTACAAGAAGAGTCTCGTACCAAGCACCGAAGCGGTCGAGATTGTCGCGGCGTATCGCTAGATTTTCAATATTGGGACCGTTTACATCGATGGAAAGGTCCCCCCCGGCGGGGCAACGACATGCTGGAAAGCCCTTCATGAGGAAGACCTGTGGATGTCATTCGTCACGAAGAACTCGTGGCAGAACACGGAGCGTGAGAAATAAGGCGAGCCGCTGGGGCAGACTGACAAAGGTCTAGCCAACGTGGCCCGGTACTATTATCACGACTCCACGAGACCGTTCGTATCCGAGATGTCGACGATATTCGAAGTCATGTTCGAAGTGGGTTGCACATCACGGAGGAGGCGAGCAATTAACGGCCCGATCGCCCAGTGATTTTGCCGAGCACGAGTTCAGTAGGTGGCTCACAGAAAGGCCGGAGCAATAGTACTGTCATGAAGCGGTCGTCCAGCCAAACTGGCGTCTTCTACCACCTGGTAAGCGAGCCTGTTTAGCGTCTCCGACCAAGGCTGGGAGCGATGCACTGCCAGACTGGGTACATCGGCGGTCTTTCTTCAAGACTATGGAATGCCTAGCTACAAGACAAGCTCTCCATCGGCTCTGCTTGCTGCACGGGAGGACGGCATCGAAGGATACGGGACTATAGAAGGCAGCATTTATTGCGGTTGTGTTCGTTTATGTTCCGGAGGGGTTGAACCGTTGAAGGCTTGAAAACCGGAAGAATGAAGCTATTCCGGATTGAGGGGGCTAAAGTGGAAGGGGAAGTTCGGTAACAGATTGTACGGAGTAGAGAATATCACTTCATCTCCCAGCCAACTTCATGTCACTTTGCTATGACTGGTGATGCTCTGTTTCATAGGAGAATATTCGGGATTATTGTTGGATACCTCTCCGTTCCAATACACCAGCTCGGGAGGGATTTTAGTCTCTAGGTAGACGGATTAGACATGACAGAGAAGTGTTACTTCGTGTCGAAGTCTGTATGGGTCCACAAGTCGAATAGATAACCAAACGCCGGTTTGTTTGCTTTTACATACTCGTATTAAATATTAAGGATGCCTTCTGGAGACACCACATCGGATAAATGCATAGAGATGTATCAGCCAGGGGATGATAAGTGTAAGCTACAAAGTGTGAGATAAATAGCGGTTTCGCTCAATCAGGTGATTAATGCAGCGACACTGGGAAAATACCGTTAGATTCCAAAAGAGCGTAGATAGATTGACCTTGATCCTTTTTGAGCGTAAAATCTACGGGATTATGCCCATATTTAAGTTCTGTATACGGATACATTTGATGGCCGTAGAGACCTTGATTTGCTCAAGACGAGCGAAAACGCAAAGAATGAGGGACTGGTAACATCGTGGGATGCTTGATGTGCTGTCATAGTTGTGAATACGAGGTCACGGGTAGGAAACCAGAGGACCCTGAAAAACATAGACATCTTGATCTCTGACACAAAGTGATAGACTATCATCCTGAGCTATCACACAGGCCCTGGTATGGTACTAAGTTCGCGTCCAAGTTCCAACGCGTCTTCAAGTTAGCTTGACAGAGATGCAACTCAAGATAATTTCCAATTTCTAATTGTTCATATCCGATTTTGCAATTCCTATCATCCGATGGAAATCCTTGTTTCTACATAATTGGCGAATTTCTCCCAAAGAAGCATTTATTTCAACATTACGATGGAACAGCCTACCTCAGACCAAAGTTCGAGCGCGTCGCCGATTCGTGAATGCGAGGCATCAGGCCCAGTGCCTGAAATTCAGGCCGCTCTGCTCGATGCTTACGATAATATCGAGTCTCATGGGGAATATTCTATCTTTTGGGGGCTGGACCCTAGAACATTCGTGAACCCCGACATCAGCGTTCCTGGCGTTGGCCCAATTACCCTCCCTCTATGCGAACCTCAAGCAAGACAATTGATCGACAAATCGCGTCTTTCGCCGTTTGGCAAAGGCACGGAAACCGTGGTAGATACGTCAGTACGGAATACCTGGGAAATCGATGCATCCCAGTTCGAGATAATGAACCCGGATTGGAACCCCCTCTTCACAGAGATCGTGGCTATCGCAGCCGAAGGGCTTGGAGTTTCTGTCCCTATAGAGGCAGTACCATACAAAATGCTGATCTATGAGAAGGGAGCCCACTTCAAGGCTCACACCGACACGGAAAAGATCCCTGGGATGCTAGGGACTCTTGTGATCTCCCTTCCTTCCCCGCACAAGGGCGGAGACGTCATTCTGAAGCATGGGAACGAGAAGAAGACATATTCCTCCTCTAAGCATCTACAATCCTTTGCATGTTGGTATTCAGATGCTGAACACGAAGTCTGTGAGGTCACGTCTGGGTACCGATGGGTGTTAACCTACAACCTTGCTGTCAAAAATGGACTACACATTCCTTCCTTGGAGTCACTTGCCCACCCGAAGGAGATTTTCAAGGGCTTGCTGAGCAAGTGGCAAGAAAATCTGATGAAAGGCGATGATTCATTCAAGCATGCTGTTTTTGCCTTGAGTCACAAATACTCCCAACAAGGTTTGGAGTACCAGAAACTCAGGCCAATAGATCGTCTTCGTGCGCAGTGCCTATTGGACGCCGGAAACGAGACTGACTTTGAGGTTTTCCTTGCGTCTATCGAGAAACATGCCTGGGGTGGAACAGGGGACAATGACAGTTGGGGGTATAAGAGGCGCCGTTACTCTGGATATGGCTATGGCTACGACGAGGACGAGGACGATGAAGATACGGCCAGTCACCATAGCATCGTGGACCTAATTTCTAGTTATATACTCCTCAAGGATGTCACACTGCTTTCGGGCCAACTTCTGATGAAAGAAGTGACGATCCCACAGGACGATCAGATCCTTACCAGGAATGAAGCTTTTGGCGAGAGACCAGACAGTGAGGACTACACCGGGTTCACAGGAAATGAGGTTAGTAAACGCGTTAATGTCGGAATACCATTTGACCCTCTAATACTGCTTTCTAGGGCGCGCAAGTTACCCATTTTTATAGGAACTCGGTACGTCGAACGCAACAGCTGGATGCTATCTTTCTCTGACAAAAAAAACAGGCACTCGTCGTGGTTCCTCGTTCGCTGGTCCTCTCATTTGCAGAAAACATACGATCTAGCTGGTCAGGTAACAGGCCTGATTACCCTGCTCTCATAGAATATTACCTCTCGGGTCTCCAGTCGGACAGCGACTCGGTCAAGGAGCGAGCGGTCAATGTTTGCACGAATATTGTCACAACAATGGCGGCTGCCAACCAGACGATCCTCGCTCGGCATTTGGCGCCCCCAATCGCCGCCGCGTTGCGGAAAGGGGATATCCAGACCTTTAAAAAGTTGGTCACCTTCCGAACGAAAATGTCTTTTGGTAGGCAATTTCTGCAGAACCTGAAGGAGACTGCAACTGGTAAGGGCATAAACTTCCAGGACATTCGTGATCCGTACGTAATTTCCATTTTCCTCCAGAGGTTGCCTGCTAACTTTCCCAGTATGTCCTTACTTGTTCGGAAATCGCCACATTTCCAAGATCGATACGAATCGTTGCAGGGTGTTGTTCCAGCATCAATAGATCGAAATCTCAAAGATTCGGATAGGGGTTTTGTAATGGAGGTATTTGAACAATCGATAAAAGACATGGAGCACATCCAGGACGAATCAGATCAGCCGCGAGAAGAAGATGGGGCTGCTTTCGTCGATTTCGCCATGGAGTACAAGGGATGCGAGGATGTAAACCAAATGTAAGTTTGATATGCATGTGATAACTATCCGTTCCTCACTAATATATTACAGCCTGGAGATCTTGTTCAGCAAGTGTGGGCAGCACGTGCGACTCATGATTGGGATAATGCAACAATTAAAGGCTCTAGTCGCGGATCGTGTGCTGTCCAAAACAGTATGCGACTCCTTCTGGAACGACGCACTCACCGCGGTGTCGAGAGATGCTACGGTTCCCTACTACCCCGGTATTCATGACGGTGCAATCCACCGTCGCGCACATGGGAAACTCGTTTGGATTTTCAACTATCTCATGAAGCGAAAGAGATACGAAGACATATCGAAACTGGTGGACCGTATTACTAACCATATGACTACCGGACCGCACCTTCCACCGAATGCATTCGATGAGAACTATCTTGTGGTCCTCAATGAGCTTGCACTCCAACAATATCATATTCCGTCCGACACGCCATCCATCCGGAAACTGTTCCAGGTGGTGCTTACCACCTATCTTCAAACTGGCGTCGGAACGGAGCCGGATGGACTTAGGCCACTGACGCGTCCACCCGTAAGGCATCAGTGTCGTGACTGCATTGCGCTTTCTTCTTGGCTTCAGAGCAGTACAACAACCACCACGGAGTTCAGCATCGGTCAAAAGCGCAGACGTCATCTTCAGAATCAGATAGCAGCATACCGGGAGCTCGAGTGCCAGGCGGAGGACTTTCCAGATAGTATCTGTGGGACATTGGTCGTTACGAAAAAGTTCGATGGCATCAAAAAGCGGGAACAGGAATGGTTGCAACGATACGAGGCCGCTTTCGATCGTTTGAAGAGGTTCGGGGAAGCGAGGCTCAAGGAGATGCTTGGAGACCAATTCGAATCCATCTGGGAGATGGAGACCATTCGCACCCCCGGCGGTATATTGAATAAAAGAGTTAGAAAGGCTGTGGCAGACTTTGCGCTGACGCGTGTGTCGGGGAATTCGGATGCTCCTCAGGTGCCTCCACAACTCGCTGGCACAAAGCGGAAAGCTGTTCAAATCATTGACTTGACAGAGGATGGAAGTTGAGGCGGAGGGCATGCTAGCTGATGGCAGAATCCGGGTTCTTTTGAGCATTGGCGGTTTGGAGGTAAACTGGTTCTGGTTGATAATAGGAGGTTCTACTTCGGATGGCGGTTTGGTAGATCCTAGTACGATAGATTATCCTCAGGGTAAGGAATTGAAATCTCGCAATCAACAACCATAGAACTGTCCCTGCTGTGCCCCACCAGAAAGATACGTTTCGATCTAACATATTATTAACCTTCAGAATTCTACGAGATATGTTATGATCTCAAACCTATGACATGAGCCCTTGGGTGTGGCTGATTACCAGAGACGTGGCTGGTAGGTTCACATGGCGATTATTAGAAAAGCAGTCATGTGTGAAGCAATGTGTTAGGGCTGTGAAAGGGAGAGTTAAATATCTCGCGCATAAAAGTGCGAGGATTTCCTCTTTTCTTCTCCCTCTTCGGTTTAGATTAATGGAACTGGTAACTGCAGACCTTGCATATTAAAACCGTGTTAAGGTACAGTGAATCAAGTTCTAATGTAGGAATCAGAGCATTTGCCGTAGGAACCAGAGCGTTTGCCGTGTAGTCCCAGGCTATTTAACTACGAAGACCCTCTATAGTCCAGGTCTAGGTACAGTTTCACAGTCATAGTTTTCAGTCTGACCAGTCACAATTTTCAGTCTGACCAGTCATCCATCACGTTTTCAGTCGGATCAGTCGTCACGCTCCAACCAATCTTCTCGCTCCTAGTCCATTGCCACACCATCTGCTCATCATGGCCTCCAACCCTGAAACCCCAACGGGCTATCCCTGCCGTCTCCCTGGAGACATGACCGCTACGATATCCGGGAATGTAGTCGTGGTTCTTGACCGTATTGTTGGACCATGCTTACGAGATAAGATTCCTACTCTCATTCGAAGTTTCGGAGTCGACGACGGCAGTCGCCTCCTAACCGTTCCTGCCATCCCACACCTGAAGGTCGATTTTTTCACGGTAGACCCTGGGAGGCGCCTCCTCTTGCGGAAGAAAATGAATGTGGCCCGATTGGTGCCGTGGACATGGAGTAGGAATGAGATAAAGAGAAGGGGAAGGATAAGGATAAGGAGATGACGGAAGGGGAGAAGAAGAAGGAGTGGAAGAAACGGGTCTAAATTATAATGTATAGGGCGAGAAGGAAGACCGCGCGGAGGCATGCTTTGGCCATGTACCTTTCTAAGAACAACCATCAAACTCTCTTCTTATATTTCGCATAGCACCCACTGACAAATCGAGGACATACATGTAGCCTGCTCTGATCATGATGGTCATCCTGACCCTTTCTCCAACCCCACGGTCCACTTTTAGTTGGTGGGTGTTGCTGCCTTGCTGCCTTTCCAACTAAACAGAAGGGACAGGAGGGACAACACTTCAACGCGTAATACAAGGAACTTACCATCTTTAACTCAGCTCGAGCTCAATAGCCGCAATGGTAGCGATCACAGCTACAATGCCAGCGCCAAAGCCACCGCTTGAACGCCAATGTGCCGTGTGCGGTTCCAAAGATGGCCTTAGGCGCTGCACGGGTTGTTGTCTGGTGCTATATTGCGGCAAAAACCACCAGACATCGCACTGGCGGGAGCATAAACGCGATTGCAAAGACGTGGGATATTACACCACGTGCCTCCAGTTGGAAGAGCATATGCTCCGTGATCACGCTGGAGACTTAGGATTGTCGGACAATCTCTTCGAAGAGGCAAGAGGATGGTTTTCGGAATTGGATGGCGTCCATCAGTATCTTGGTGCCAGGAAGGACTTGGTAACGGCGATGGTGAAAATGAATACGTTCGACTCGATCCAAGCTGCGATCTTTCATTGCCAAGGCATTGTGGAGCTCGATTTTCAGGACTACACGGGAATCGTCTTATATCTTCCCTCGCTCTACCTACGCCTTGGTCTCGAACAGCAATGCTACGATTTCTGCAAGTGGAATATTATGATCCAGGACTTCTTCGACAAGAAAGCACCGGACATACCGTGGGGGGAAATGGGTGACATGTGCGTGAGCATGAAGAACTCCAATGTTTTCGAAGATCTAGAGTACTTCACGGACAGTGCCGCTCCTTGCGAACTCTTTTACCTGGTTGCCGTCATGTTGGTCAAGTTTCGCTTGCTCCAAGACCTCCTTGCTCTCCAGGCTACCACTGAATCTGTCGGAAAGCGAGTCCCAACGGAGATCCTCGACTACATCTGTCTCTATGTGGTCAGGCCTGTGGTAGTGAAGAACCGAACGATCATGGAGTCGACCGACCGAAGTTACGAAATCCAGCTGTTGAAGATGCAAGTTCAGTTCCTCTTCAGGCTTGTCAGCAAGAGATTCAAGTCTACATGGCTCGGATTGATCCATCCGAGATCGAAGCAAGGCCTCGGTAGCGGTACGAGGTGTCCTTGCTGTGAAACCGGCGGCCGATACGTCCTTCAGAACAGCTGCGATGCTTGGGCCGAGACGCCCGGTGCGATAGATCATGCGATGGAATTCATCGAGCAAATGGGTATCAAGCTGGAGCTAGCTGATGTTTCGAAGAAAACGTGTGCCCACCAAAAGCAGGACATCAACGCGAAATGATGACCCATGCTGTGGATGGCTAGAATGGGGGTGGTACTCAATGGTAAGGGTGATATCCGTTTTATAACGCTATCAACGACGACAGGCATGACACCAATGAATGGGGGCCAAAAGGGAGTTTCGGGGACACTGCTCACTTTCAAGACTATATGGGGTATGCTAGAAGCATACTACAGGCTACAGAGCTGGGGATTTGATTAAATATGGACGGAGTAGGTCTGTCAGGTCATCCCCAATTCGGTAGTGTTCAACAGCAAAAACTAGATATATCCACGCTGGAATAATTATTTACCGAAGCTATTAGGACGGAGTGTATCGTGTAGCAATCGCTTTTAATTGACCAGCCCCAGAGAATTATATTTCCGGAGGAGCTAGACTACTAAACCACTGATCGTAGTTGGACGGTGAAGATGAAAAGATAGGGCCGCTCGGCTTCATCCAAAAAACAGAAAGCTCTGGTTCCTTGCCCACCGGTTCGCATGGAATGATGGAGTGGATATGATGCCTTCATCAGGCCATGCAGTACTCCGTATCATTGAAAAGATACAAAGCACGCGAAATTCGCCTCAGTGAGAGCTGAGGTGGGTATAATAAGAGCCTGGACGAAATCAGAAGAGCATCGATCTATTTGCGTTGCCTAATCTGCGTTGCCTAATCTGCGTCGCCTAATCTGCTTGCTGGACTATTGAATCATTTGATTTCGAAGAAACAAATAGGGGTCACTGATAAGAGCAAACGGACGTCCAATTCACTGAGGGAATATTTCATTTCGCCTTCACATCTTTCACATTCTCGCAGTGAAATCTTCAGTTTCAAACAAAGAGATCAAAAGCCGGTCTTCATCTCACATTGGATTCCGATCCCACATAAAGTCCCCATATCTCGACCGATCAACTTTCAAATTACCACCGCCATCATGTTGTCCAAAGCGGCCCTCCTCGCCTTTTCGGCCCTCTCCCTCGTCTCGAGCGTCGGCGCAATCGACCACGTCCAAGACCCCCAGCGAATGCTCCAACTCAACGACGCCACGACGGCCCTCGAGCGCCTCAACATCCTCTCCTCCGACCGTGACTGGCTCTTCGACTTCAAAGCCCAGTCCACCTGGACCGAAGACCCCGGCTCGGTCGTCAACGCCAACGCCGTGACGTTCCCCGCAGCATTCGGAAACGGAATGACCATGGCCCTCCTCACCCTCGGACCGTGCGCTCAGCTCCCTCCGCACTTCCATCCCCGCGGCTCGAACTACGTCATGCACGTTGCGGGCCCGGCGGTCAAAACGTACATGACGATGGAAAACGGTGCGCGTACGGTGGAGGAGAAGATATTGCCATATCAGATGACGATCTTCCCGCATGCAAGCGTCCATGCGATGGAGAACACCGGTAAGTTCAAGGTGGCGTTGCAGACGAGGATAGGAACTGAGAATACCAGGCTGCGAGACCGCATACCTTGTCTCAGCTCTCAACAGCGAAGATCCGGCGACACATAATCTTGCTAACGCATTCTTCGCCCTCAATTCCGAGCTCACAGATGCGTCGATGGGGTACCAACGGCTGGCTGTTAATAACAGCGAGATCCCTCCGCCGGGGACTGGGAGCCTTGCTGGGAGGGAATCTTGTCTGAAGAGATGCGAAGGCACTACTCGTCGCGCTAAAGAATAGGAGACCTAGTTCTCGTTCATATCATGGCGTAACATCTGCATTTGGGTATTCATGGGGTCGCCGTTTGACTTAAGAAGCAAGAGAGGGGTCTGCAAGGTCCAGAATTGACGGAGATGAGGAATGATATGACGAATTGGCGAAGCTCGAGTAGCTGAAATCGAGATCATCGGCCGAAATCTTGCGAGAATAGCATTGAAGACAAAATGAAACCTTAAGCGGAAACTTCATACGCTACGCATCACGATTTACCGTTAACCTGACCTAGGGCTTTCCTTGAACCCTACAACCTTTAAGATTGCTGATATCCTTTGAATGGCTGGATCTAAAAGCCTACGGCTTACCGTTAACCGTATGTTCACGAATGCTTTATTGAAGGGAGTTTTGGCAGATAGTAGATCTGTAAATGTGCATGCTTGGCTGATGAAGGTTGATAATTCATCATGATGTTGAACTTTGAAGAGAGTTGCTTACCTAAGCGGATACTAATACCGGTCTGAGGGTTGGCTGGTTGCACCGTTGCAGGCTTGCAGCTCAGTTCATATCTGTAAGCATAACACGGCACTTCTACCGTTTCTCAACACATTACACTTTCCTTTTGAGGCACACGCAGTCTATAGAACAGTCCAAACCGTCATGGACGAATCCATTCACGAACCTCTCTTCCGCTCCGCCAAGCGACGAAAAATCACCCGACCGCGCTCCTCCGTCGCCGCCACCTCTCCTCCTCCCCAAGAACGCGATGATGCGCAAGAACCACAGTCGGAAGAGGGACCCTCGGTCGCGGAAATCCTCCGACTGCGCAAAACCAAGGCAAAACGCTTCGGCGTGGAGTTCGGCGCCGCGAAGAGCCACGCGGCGGTGCAGCGGCCGACAGAGGGCGAAGGGAGACATGCAGGGACGGTGTCGGCGGTAGAGACTGCGGCAAGGCGGTTTGCGCCGCAGGCAGGGCCGGTGATGGAGTTGGATAGGCATATGTAGGTGGCGCAGGTTTCATTTATTTGGGTCATGCAGAGACTACAGTTTGGAGGCAAGAGAGTTTGAGAGGAGACGGAGGGGTTGGCAAGGTCACTAGCTAACGACTTAAGGATGGCGTATGTAGACTCACGGATCGCTGAGATGCATCAAGGGGGTGGATCAACCACGGAATCTACGAACTACGGACCTCTCTCGACGATATCGGCGGACGACGCGTCGCGCGCGGTCACGACGGATCGCGAACGACAGCCGGCGGGGTTGGGGAAGTTGCAGGAGGTGGATTTGGGGCCGTCGGCCACGCAGGAGAATATCCGGCGGACGCAGGCGGCGACGCGGAGACTAGAGGGGGTGGTTTCGGAGGAAGAGGAGGAAGGGCCGGTGAGGAAGGGGAGGGATGGGAGGCCGTGGCGGAGAAGGAAGCGGAGGAATAGCGATGATGTGCGGAGGGATAAGTTGGTAGAGCAAGTGCTTCGAGAGAGTCGATGTAAGTTTTCGCCTAGATTCATCCATTTCTTTCCTTCCTCTGTCTATCCATCCTCGTAGCGCAATTGCTGACCTCCCACCAGTGGATCTTTACGACGAATCTGCAGCATCGTCTCCTCGAGAGGCCAACGACCAAGCGGCGGACGACACCATCGCCGAGCAATTCCGGCGGGATTTCATGGAGGCTCAGAACAAGAATATGCGCCGAGCGGCGCCGCCGCCGCCGAGTCAGAAGGTGAAGCCGGGCGAGGAGAGGCCGAAGGGGCCGAAGTTGGGGGGATCGAGGAGCGCAAGGGCGGCGTTGCGAGCGCTAGAGGAGAAGGGGAAGAAGAAGTGATGGGATGGGGTTTGGAGATGTTATATGGCATTTTGCGGACTACAGATATCGATTTGGAGTTTTCCATACTACTTGACTGCAAGTCTGCAATACGGATATCATGAGTTCATGACGACTTGACGAGTGTCCTTCGAGCGCTGATCATTGACCGGTTTATTATGTATTCGGAACGATCAGCCAGGATTTCCCCAGTCTCCCCTTTGGACCCCAAACCAGGGTGGCGTGCCAAGGCGGGTCAAGAAATGTCGTGGATTGGCGGTATCTTGATTTTGGCGTCGATCATCTCCCTAATTGACACTACTCCTTGCTCGGGATGCTTAGCCGCTCTAGGTATGACGTCGGTATATCCTTCTCCAGGTCTCCAATTTATCTCCGTGTGACCATGTCGAAGGATGGGGGATGCGCGACGATCACAATGAGGAGAAACATAAGTGATCCGTCGGCCTTGCCGCAGCGTACATCCTTCCAAGCCTAATCCTCACTCCTATCCTCAAGTCTCGTCGTCTTACATATCATCACTGGTTCCTATTTTTTACATCTCGCTGAACCTATTCCGAGTCCCTTTCAAGCCCCAACCTTCCAATATCCGATCCCAGCCTCTCCTCTCAACCATCCTGTTTGATAATCCTCCAAAATGGCTCAAAAACTCTACCCGAGGGCAGGCAAGACCCCCGAAGAGCTGGAGGCCAAATTTGTCCCCATTCCATCTGTCGGACACGAGATGGGGATCATGTTCGGATTCATCGGTCTAATGCTAATCGGTAAGTCCTATTCTCTACATCCTTATTGACTCAAACCGAACCCGTCAACTTGCTGTGAGGGTTGTTCAATCGAGCTACTTTCCAGCCTCCATCGAAACCAGGGGTGTTCACTGACGGTTTTCCTCGATAGGAGTCACCGGTTTCTGGGTCTGGTGGACTTTCAGGTTGAAGAGGGAAGATACGCACGAGCGCGCGAGAGTGGAGGATCTGCGAGCGCGAGGACTGCTGAAGGAAGGCCTGAGTGGCAATGGGGCGAGTGAGAAGCAACCGATTCAAGAATAATGGACGCTGTGAGGACGAGGCGAGAGTGCGGTCAGCCCTAAAATGAGTGGGCGAATCGATCCTGAAAGGTTATACACGGGTACCTGATGGGGATAGACGGATGTTTGCAGAGCCGTCGAAGGTGATAACATGGGATTCAGTAGGGTCGGCGTGAAACGACTTGGATATTCAGCGATTTAGGGCGATTGTGTCGCTAGAAAGATGCCATCTGCAGTTGATTTTGAGGTAGCAAGCAAGTTTTAGTACTAGTACTTGGGAGACGGTATCCAACCAGCGTTTTGATGCTTCTCCTGATGAATTATGAGCCATGAGAGAAATGGTAGTGTCTTACCCGAACAAATCCAGTTGTTTGTCGCTGAAGCTGCCATGATGTTGTGAACCAACTCTACAAAATACATTATAGACTTCACCATCATATGTTGACTCCTTTGAAAGAGTATATCCGGCGATGAATGATCGGCAAGGACTCCAACAAAGTAGTTCCACAGTCCGTGGTGCCTAGATCAGGCGGGTGTCGGGCCATAGAAGTACTACACAGCATGGCATTTCCACTTCAATTCATAGTTAATATGGAGAAGCCGTAACACCGAAGAATCCCATGTTTAATACCACACTAAAGTCGATTCTTGCCTCTTGGGAGAATCGTCGTCTGATAAAAAACTCGAGCAGCATGAGAGTTTACTTGGACAAGTGTAACTAACACGCACTGGTCCCACGGGATAAGAGAGGAGCTATTCAAGATATCAATAACCTTGATGAAATTTGAAGAATTGTACCTGAAGAATTGAAACATGCGGCTGGGATATGAGATAAACAATAATGACGTTCGAGACTGGCTGTGGAGCTTGGGCTTTAGCTCTGTCTAGATTTCTAGAATATCGCCCAGCTGCGCTATTTCCATAACATGAGTATCGGGTTTACATCAACTGTACTCTCCTCGTCTGCTAATATATAAATCATGCCAATGCGTATGCGTATGCGTATGCCATTAACAACCTGATGTTGGCCTTGGTGTAATCTCTTCTGTTCTCCATTCTTGGATGGACACGTCTAGCTGAGACCTGCCATTGGCTCATCGAAGCTGTTATCATTCTAGATCTCCATCGTGAGATTGTCACTCAACTGAGCTTCGTAGAGTTAAATCTCCCCCGACGGCAAAAGAGAGCGCTCCACCGCTCAATATATACGGGATGGACTCACCTTCATCACTTTCCCCTCGGACACCTGCTCCCGGGGAACCATCCAATCCAATGGAACCATCGAGCTCCACAGCGCAACCATCTCGCACACAATCATCCCAATCGCGGGGAGGGCAATCGAAAAAGCGGAAGAAGAAGCGAAAGAATCGACGGGAATCCTTTGCGAATCCCGTGGCAGAGCCGAGCAATGCGACGGATACGGAGCATGAGAGGATGATGGAGGCACGAACGGCTGCTGCGCGAGATAGCTTTTATCGGCTCAGCCAGAATGGAGGTCAGAGCAATACGAGTTTGGATATGATGGATCACAGGTTGGGCTTGTTCATATGCGAGATCTAAGGGAAAGCAGCTAACTCGGGTGTGATAGACCACAAGGACCGTCCCGAAGTCGAGGATTGAATGTTCAGCAAAGCCCACTTGCCATCCGACCTACTATCCAGTCAGCCCCTATCATACCCCGTGAAAGCGCATCGCGTACGTCGAAAGGTCGGTCGAAATCGAAGCTTGACAAGGTCCATCCGCTTTCGTCAGGAAGCGAGAGGGAGGACAGAGCTCATGATACATCACCGCTGCTGAAGTCACCGACTCGCCAAAGCGGATTTGGGACTACAACCGGTTTTGGATATGGAGGGACGGGAAGCACCTCGAGCCTCACTCGTTTACCTGGTCGAGGAAGACCATCGTCTAGAAATTCTCCCGCCCCGGTCGAGAGACGCCAATCCATGTATAACTCGATTATCGACGCTCCCGACTACGACGTCAACAATCCTCCCTCCGTTCCGGCGAGTCCAGAAATCGTGCCACAGCAACTGAATGATGAGTACTTTCCAAGTGTGGACATGGACGCTCATATACCCGTACATAGCCCGTCGCGCTCTAGGGATCCGTTTATAGACCTCGAATCCGCCTTCGGTCGCGCAGAGTCGATAGGAACGACACCGTCATGGGATCAAATCAAGCGACGAATGACCAAGGCCCCTGAAGAAGATGTCTGCTTCCCACATGACATCCTGTCTGATATCGGAGAGGAGCCTTCCCGGCTTATGTCGGAAACGAGCGTCTCCCCTGTCGACGTAGCGCGCAAGAGGAAACGGAAAGTCTGGCCAAAGCTCGATATATTGGATCAGTGGAGCGAGCAGGAGAAGGAGGAATGGAGTCTGGGGAACCTTCGAGCGCGGTCGATGGTCGAGCCGACGATGGTTGATGGGAGATACAGGCCTCGAAAGCAGGTGTGGCATCGTCCGATGGAGGATGCGCCGTTCCGCTTCACATACTTCAATCCGGAGTTTTCGAAGACGATTCATAGCCAGACGCTGTCAGGTTTGACACATGCCGAGTCGGTCACGTTTAAATCGTTGTTCTTACCCGATCCACCCGAGCTCGAAAGCGACAGTTCCGATGATGACGACCCGCAAGGCGTCTCGGCACATGGCGATGCCACCCCACGGAGGCAGTATTCTCCATCCCCATTCGAGCACTCTAGAAATGGACATCTCCTATCTCCAAAATTTGGAAACGGTAAGGAAAAGAGCCAGCAACCCTCGGAAACCAACACCGGACGGACTACTCCTGTCCCACATCCGCTCCAGCCCTCGCCACCTCACGAGAAACGCTACGGTCCTCGTCCTACCTTCTGGCTCGATGTCCTCTCCCCCACCGTGACCGAGATGCGCGTCCTCCAACGCGCATTCGACCTTCACCCCCTAACCGTCGAAGACATCCTCGAGCAAGAAGAGCGCGAGAAAGTCGAGCTCTTCGGCCACTACTACTTCTGCAACTACCGCTCCTTCGAACAAGACACCACGAGCGACGAGTACATGGACCCCGTCAACATCTACTGGGTCGTCTTTCGCGACGGCCTCATCAGCTTCCGCTGGTCCCCCACTCCGCACCCCGCCAACGTGCGTCGCCGCATCCGCCAGCTCTCCGATTACATGGTCGTCTCCGCCGACTGGATCTCCTACGCCATCATCGACGACATCACCGACGCCTATGCCCCGCTCGTCCAGGTCATCGAGGAAGAAGTCGATGAGATCGACGACAGGATCCTCGGCGAAATTGCCCTCAGCACCATGACGAAGGAGAAGCGCCTCAACTCCCGCATGCCGCCCCCCCCCCGCCGCTCGCTCGTCCAGCGCCTCGTCCCGCCGTTCCTCCGCCATGACTGCACCATGAAAGACGGCTACGGCCCAGTCGACGAGGCGCGGAAACCCGACGAGAAGTCGGAGAACACGGCGTTAGCGCCGCAGGAGAGCAGCTCGGATATGCTGCGGCGGGTTGGCGAGTGTCGGAAGAAGGTGATGTCGCTGTATCGGTTGCTGGGGAACAAAGCGGACGTGATCAGGGGGTTCGCGAAGCGGTGTAATGAGCATTGGGCGGTGGCGCCGCGGAACGAGATTGGGATGTACCTGGGGGATATACAGGATCACATTGTGACGATGACGGGGAATTTGAGTCACTATGAGAAGTACGGACCCTTTCCTCTTGCGTTGAGTTGTCTGTTCTTCGTTAAGACGGTGACTAACATGTCCTCAGCCTGCTTTCCCGCGCGCACTCCAACTATCTCGCGCAGATCAGCATCCGCATGACCGACCGCGCCGAATCGACGAACAACGTGCTGAACAAGCTCACCGTCCTCGGCACCATCGTGCTGCCGATGAACGTGGTGACAGGCATGTGGGGGATGAACGTTATGGTACCGGGGCAAGAGATCGAGAATCTGTACTGGTTCTGGAGCATCACGTCGTTCCTGCTGATGTTCGGGCTCTTTGCGTTCTTTTTGGCGAGGAAGACGTATGGGGTGGTGTAAGTTGAGAGGAATGAACTGGAGAATCTGGAATAACATTTTAATTGGGAAATTGGGCGTTGGGTTCATGGCCGCTGACTAGATTATAGACCTGATTGACGGTGCATCACATATGGGTTAAGCATTCGGGCATTGACGATTCAAATCTTGCATTTGATGACAGGAAACAATGATTGCATAAGGGAAGCTTCTGATGGCTATATGATATAATGTACAGTTTGAAACGCATAACAGAATCTTTTTGTAGCCGTAGACAAACCACGAAAGTCATTATCGCCCTTCCGACAAACTATCCCGCGGTTGACCGTGTTGACTTAGCCATTAGATGTACCCGAATCAAAATTTCCAGCGCCATACTCCGACTCCCCGAAACGATGATCTCGGTATGTGAAATCGTTCTCGCCCGTCGATGATATAAGGACCTTGTGGCCTGCAGGAGAAGCGATAAAGAAGCCAGCGATGTAAGAAAGTCGATCTCGAAACCGAAGGACATGCCATGGCAGGCATCCGATCCGTAAATTAACCAGGCTTAATGCCTCCTATATCGAAATCCCCGGATCAGCCATCCATCCGCCTACGTTACCGACCCCATCCACCCCACCCCCTGATCGCATCACTCGCAAGCGGACATCATCCACTTACCTTGCATACGGATGATACCCTCCCCGATGCCCTCCCCTCCCACCCCCCCGATAATTCGCCCCAGGCCTCCCCGCATTCTTCGGCCCCGTCGGCGCATTCGCCGGCGCCTGACTCGGCTGCACCGGTGCATCCCCCCCCGGACTCATTCCGCCACGTCCACCGCCCGCTCCTCCTCGGCCACCGCGTCCGCGCGCGCCCACCCCCCGCGGGCCCGCAGGCGGCATACCCGGCTGCGGGTCGCCGTCGTACATGCCATCCCAGCTGGTGGGGCTGCCGAAGCCGCCGTGGGCGCCGTATTGCTGCATGCGCTGCTGTTGTTGGCGGTCGTATTTTTGTTGGTCGAAGGGTTCGGCGGGGTAGCCGCGGGAGGGGTTTGGGTTGGCGCCGTTGGTTCCGGTGGGGTTGGGGGCGCCGGGTTGTTGGAGTTGGGCGGAGGGGCCGGCGGGAGGGGTGCCGGGGGTGGAGCCGGAGCCGGGGCCTTGGCCTTGACCTTGCATGGCTGCTTGCTGTTGGGCTTGGGCCTGGGCTTGCATTTGTTGCATCATGGCGGGGTTCATGCCCATCATGGCGGCGGGGTTCATGCCAGGAGACTGAGGGTTCTGACCGCGGCCCTGCTGCTGCTGCTGCTGTTGTTGCTGCATCGCCATCATCTGCTGCATCATGGCCGGGTTCATACCCATCGGCATCCCGCCGCCCATCTGCTGCTGCTGCGCCATCTGGAGGTTCTGCTGCATCATGGCGAAGTACTGCTGCATCTTCTGCCAGTACTGTGCCATCATCGCCGGGGACATGCCTTGGGTGTTCTGCGGCATGCTGCCCATGTTCGCGTTCTGGTTGCCGGCCTCCATGGACATGTCTTGGTGCTGGGGCGCGCCGCCGCCGCGTCCGAATCCGCGTCGACCGAATTTCTGGTTGTCGTCATCTCGCATGTTGCCGCGCGGTTGGGCACGTTTGACTTCGATGGGCTTTCCGAGAATGTCGAGGGGTTGAGCTAAGCAGGCATCGACTGCCTCGTCACCGTCGAAGGTCACGAATCCGAAGCCACGGGGCCGTCCAGTGTCCTTGTCCATCATGAGCGTTGCGTCGATGACACGGCCAAACTGCTTGAAGTAGTTCTTAAAGTCGGCTTCGGTGGCTTCGGTGGAGACGCCGCCGACGAAGATTTTGGCGGTGCGTTCCTGCTCTTCACGTGGGATGGCCCGCTTGGGGTCGATCTATGCAACTGTCAGTAATTATTAGGCAAAAGAAGGATACGGCCTTACAATCTTCCCGTCCAGATAATGTTCTTTGACCATGACGATGTTGACGGTCTTCGGGTCTCGGAAAGTCAAGAAGCCAAATCCTCGAGAGCGACCAGTGGCACCATCACGCATCACAGTGCATTCAGTGACTTCTCCAAATTGTGAGAAATAGTCTTTCAGTGATTCTGGAGCGATATTGTTAGAACTGACTGCTGATTGCGATTATATGGGGATCGAGGATCTCTCTACTCACTCTCTGTTGTTTCCCAATTCAATCCCCCGATGAACATTTTACTGTTAACAATGTTAGCACATACATGAATGGTGGCAATCATAAGCAAGAATAAGTCAAATAATGGTGCTGAAATGGACAACAATGCCGATATGCCACTATCCGCTGGCATTCGCAGTGGGGGAACACTCGTGACATCTCAAAGGCGGCGTTTGCTCTGGATAAATTGTAGGTGAGAGCATGGAGTTTGTCATCCAACATCGAGTCCCTTCTAAGCCATTGAAAGTTCCATCTTCAAGATATTGGGGTTGGTGTTGTGTGAATAGCCCCATGGAACATCCTCGTCGATAGAACAATTATGCGCCCCCACCCAGTGTATGCAGAGTGAGGATGCATCATCATCCACCCGCAGAGTTGAACACATGCCCTGGCCCGAAAGGCGGGGATCTTCCAAACGTTCATGATAGTTTGTCTCGTGGTAGCAAATGCACAGTTTGATCCGAAGGAAACCATCTGCGTTTTGCTACTGATGGTATGGTCGAAGCTAGCCGAAGTCTAGGTAGGAGTCTAGGTACTGTCGTCCATATCCAACAGGATCCTGTAGAGGACGTTCTGTGGATGAATCGATATCTCTCTGTTCTTCGCTCATGGAATAAGTCCGCGACATTGTGGCTATATGTACCTATTGTGAATAGTAGTACTAGCTGGATTCTGATATCTTTGCTGACTCCGTAGATGATGATTCGAGGGTATCATTCAGTCCTGGTGAAACCAGCCCATTGATCCGCATTGCTGAGACATGACCAATGATGTATTGATGGTTAGGCGACTTGAAGCAGATGCTTGCCCATGATTCCAAGCCAGTTCGGGCGCTTGTTGAGCAAATCATGCCCACATGCAACGCAGCTGATGTATTTTACCGACCACACTCCGTTCCAGACTTTGACATCGATGCTGCCATCAAAACTCTCCGAGTCAGGTGCTGTCTGAACGTTCCCGAGTGTTCAATGACTTGACAGCTGCCATTATCCACAACAACTCGAGGCTTTTCCATCACCGCCAACGTAATAGCCCGATACCAACGGTCCAAATGCACGGCTTTCATCGGCCATATCCTCGACGTAGAGCAAACGCCTTGCCTTTGAGAACGTGCTGTATGCACGTGATGAAATCGATCGAGGGTGGAGGGAACATCAAACATTGGAACGAACGCACGCAAGTACTCACCCATCTTCTTTAATGCCGATTGGCCCATAATTGTCATCGTGATCCGGCGCAGTTGTGGAGTGATCCATCTCCTCGCCATGCGTCGCGTGGCCATTCGTGGGGAACTCCACTGGACCTCCATAACCTTCATTCATATGCGCGTCATCAACTGATGGGACTTCGACGGATTGAGGATGTGTGGGCATCGTAGGTTCAGGCTCAGGCTTGGGCGGTGCGGGCACACTAGTTGCAGCGGCCTTGGGTTGGACATCATCGGCATCATAACTAACGCGCCAAAAGTAAGCAAAGATTCATCTGATATGGCACCTCTGAGTTGACTTACAGATCGTCGAAGAGATCATCTTCGATTTCCTCATGGTCAGCCATGGTGCGATGAGAAATGGTGAATTAAAAGGGGAGAGAGAAGGAGAAACGGTGTGCTGAGCACGTTAAGCAGGGCGTCGCTGTCGTGCAACAGCTCTACGTTGGGGGTTCGTAGGCTTGGATTAACTCAGTGACTGTATCAGCGGGAGGATCTCTGATGAATTGAAACAAAAGGGAGAAGGACCAGTACGCGATGGATATATTTTGACAAGACAAGTGACAGTGACCAGATGAAGGAAACAGGAGAATAAACTGATCGGATATTTGGACATCTGACGCCTGATAGCCTTACGGCAGTTCTTCGGCGCGGAAAATACTTGGTCCGAAGCCCGTGACAGTTTTGGCTGACTCATCTTCCGTATCTCGTGATTCGTGGTTGAGTCAGTATGTGAATGCCTGACCTGGATGGATGCCTGACCTGGATGGCTGCCTGAGATTCCGATATGGATGGCACCACCTCATGCGGCTTAGCCGCTTAGGGGGTCAGAGCGCCAATCATCGTCCATTCGTCGGCTGTCCCACTCCCCGACATTAGCGGCTCCAACCCACAATCTCCGCCACGGCGCCACCGTCCTAAGAGCGGAGAGCCTCAAAGGATCCCGCAAGGTAAGGCTCAAAGATACACCATTCTTCCTCCCCTTCCGTGAATGGATCCCGATACCTCGCGTCATCGTAGCGACCGATGCTGAAGGTGAGCAACGGTAGTGACGTTGCCCCGAGTCACAATGGCTTCCAAGAAGCAAAAGCCTCAGCAGGTGAGTCCACTCTGAACTGCTGTTGACAATATATGTACTGTTGCTAACGACGCCATTGTAGGAGATGGCCCAGGTTGGTTCGTATTATCCCCTGTAATCCAAGCTTTAGAGTGGTCATACCAGTGTGCTAACATGGAGAGCATCAGATCGTTCGAGGTAGGGTGTTTCCTTGGACATCAAGAGAACCGAGCTGACGTAGTCTCCAGTTCCGCATCACCATTCTGGCGCATGAACTCCTCGAGCCCCTCAAAATCCCCGGAGCAGCGAAAGGTCGTCGGGGCATCCTATTCACATGCGGACAATCTGTCGTTTGATTCCTTGTAAGCGTAGGCATGGCTGCTTAGAGCCGACAACGAGACCTGACCGTATAGATCGATATCAGGAAACAAACGACCTAATACACCACCGACGGCCTCTCAACAACGTGAGACTAGCTCCGGACCTTCACGTAGCGGACCTATTTCCCCTCCGATCCGCCGAACATACGCTAGTTTCAACCCTGCCGCGACCAGAAGTTGGAATACGGAAAGCAATGGCGAAGGTGACGAGGACGACGAAGAGTTCGACTTCAACGATGATGAAGACGAGTTCGGTTTACCGAGCATTACCAGCATACGGAGGAAAACTAAACGGTCAACGCCCGCCAAAGGAGGACTATCTTCTAGATCACCGAACATCAAATCCGTGCCGCTGGGTCAGACCATATCCCGAACGAGCGTTTTGTCTGATACTGGAGACATAGCGCTGGAACGCGACATCCCCACCTACCCTACCGCAAACAAATCCACTAGGGACCAGAAGATCCTCCGCCCACAATACAAAGAGATTCTCCGCGACCCAGCAAACAGTCTCCATCTCATCTCGCACACGGCGCCTCCGGCGTCCGCCACACCGAAGGAGCTGGATGCACACAACTCTCGTCTATCACGGATTGACAAATTCAAACGCCTCCTCCAAACCTCCAACATCAATATCTCCGAACTCCGCTCATTATCCTGGTCCGGCATCCCTCCCGAGGTCCGCGCAATGTCATGGCAACTCCTCCTCGGCTACCTCCCTTCGAACGCCGAAAGGCGCGTCGCCGTCCTCGAGCGGAAGCGCAAGGAGTACCTCGAAGGCGTCCGGCAAGCGTTCGAAAAGGGGACACTCGGCGCTGAATCCGCCGTGGCTGCCAGAGTGGGCGGCGCAGGACCACAGCCTGTGACAACTTCGGGGAGAGGACGCGGTCTGGACGAGGCTATTTGGCATCAGATCAGTATCGATGTGCCGCGAACGAATCCGCATCTCGAGCTGTATGGCTACGAAGCTACTCAGCGGAGCTTGGAGCGAATATTATACGTCTGGGCGATTCGACATCCGGCGTCGGGCTATGTGCAGGGGATCAACGACCTCGTCACGCCGTTCTGGCAGACTTTTTTGGGGAGTTATATCACGGACTACGAGATTGAATTCGGGATGGATCCTGGACAGCTGCCCCGGCCTGTGATCGATGCGGTAGAGGCGGATTCGTTCTGGTGCCTTACCAAACTGCTGGATGGGATCCAGGATAACTATATTTTCGCGCAACCCGGGATTCAGAGACAGGTGTCTGGGTTAAAGGATTTGACCACAAGAATAGACGGCGCGCTCGCGAAGCACCTGGAGAGAGAGGGCGTCGAGTTCATTCAGTTTAGTTTTAGGTGGATGAATTGTCTACTAATGAGGGAGATCAGTGTCAAGAACACGATTCGGATGTGGGATACCTACCTGGTACGTATACAAACATGCAGGATGCACCCCGGATCTAATAAGTCATAGGCCGAGGAACGCGGGTTTTCTGACTTCCACCTCTACGTTTGTGCGGCATTTCTGGTCAAATGGTCCGATAAGCTCCTGAAGATGGATTTCCAAGAGATCATGATGTTCCTACAAGCGTTGCCGACACGCGAATGGACCGAAAAAGACGTCGAGTTGCTTTTGAGTGAGGCGTTTATTTGGAAGAGTCTATTTAGCGGGAGTCGGGCACATCTTCAATAATGCATTGATTTTTCCTCGTGTATCGTGTGGATACGTTCTGTTGTAAAGCAATGGCATGCAATTCTTGATTTTCATATGCAAAAGCTACATTTATATACAGTAAGGAAACTGGAATTCTACTCGGAGCGTCGCTTCTTCGCCGGCGCGGCACCCGACAACGGCGCAAGAGAAACTGGACCGGACGATCCTAAACCCGAAGTTAACCCTGCTCGTCCCAACGCAAAGGGGGAAAACAAACCAGAAGAAAACCGCGAGAGGCCGCCCAGGCCCGACCCGCCCCCAATCCCGCTACCGGAGCCGCCGAGCCCACCGAATAGGCGGGAGAGACCGGACGAACCAGAGGATCCTCCGAAGAGAGACGAGAGGCCGCTAAAGAGGCCGCCCTCGCTGGAAGAGCCACCTAGAAGCCCGGAGAGGCCGGAGGAGCCAGTCTCAGGGCTGCTCGACCCACCAAGACCACTGAGACCCGAGCCGCTCGATCCACCAAGGCCACCAAGACCCGAGCCGCCTCCAGTGGCGCCAGTGGCTGGGGCGGCGGCACCTGCGGAGGCGGCTGGAGCGCTGGCAGCGGGCGATGACGCGGCGGGAACGGTTTCCTCGCCATGTGCGTGGCCG